CGTTCTGCTGCCCGCTCCCGCCTCTCCTGGCCGTACCAATCAAAGCCGGCGGGAAACTTGTTGGTGCTGAGCAGATGGGAGCTCTGGCTCGCCGGTGCAGGGGGAAGCAGGGATGCTCCAGGACTGGGATGTGAGGATTCGTTAGCTCAGCTCTCCGCCATCTGTGGGAAGGAGAGATTTCCCCCATCTCAAGGCGGAGAGGGGGCAGCGTACACATTAAATTGACATGTGCCTGGAGAAATAAAGATTTGAAGTTTCTTCTATACGGCTGTGGAGGTTCGCAGCTCTGGCAGGCTGGTAGGCAGCCCGCTGTGCTGGCTTGGCGTCCCCAAGGAGCTGTGAAGAGAGGAGGCAGTGCCTGCAGAGAAACCCTTCTCTCGTGGCACCATCCGCAGCGCTCCTGGTGCCGGAGAAGGACCTGATGCTCTTAAGAGCTGGAGAAGGACCTGAAGGAATTTTAAAAGCTGATTTTTTTTTTTTTTTGCCTTTCGCTGAAGACTTTCCGTGGCTCACAGACAAAGTGCTTGGGTGTGTTTTCTGTTTTAATTATGTTTAATATGTTTCTGTTTAATTAGGTTTAAAGTACATGAGTATTTTACATAAAGAGAAACTTGAGAGTGTGAAACTTGCAGCAGAGCAGGGCAATGACCTCGTAACAGCACTCGGGCCAGGTATAGTTTCAGTGGCATCCCATCCACCACAGGGCTGTTCGGATAATCAAGGCACATTTGCCTGGTGGGTGCTGTGCTCGTCAGCACCTCTTGGGAGAGGGGGTTGTGAGGGGCTTGTCCCTGCTGGCGGGGACGTGGGGCTGCTCCCTGGGGCCAGGCCACATGAGCATCTGACACCCCTTGACTCTTTACACCTCGTCTTGACTCCACCAACCCTTGGGGCAGTTGCTTACCTGCCGCGCCATCATTTGAAAACCCAGATTTGTTTAGAAAAAGTTTGTCAGTGCCACAAAGTCACTCTTTGTGTTTAAAATAGGACAGAAACCCCACGATGTCAGGATACGGCCTTCTGCCCGTGTGTTTTGTAATGCAGGATGTCCTATGCGAAGCAAGATGTTTCCTTCTGGAAAGTTCTTTGTCTCTCAAGCTAATTTGCCCTGAATGCTGCACAAGAGTAAATTCTGTGGCTATTTTTTTCTGTAAAAAACCATAAACCCTCTCCAAACCATCCAGTTCCCATCCCGGTCGCTCAGCCCTCAGCTGGGGCAGGCAATTCTGTCACTGAGTCCCAGCGTCTGTGTTTTCAGCCCTGGGACTAATTATCCCATTTTGGGTGTTTCCATCATCCCCAGGTGTCCATCCCTTTTTTTTTTTTTTTTTGTCTTTCATTCATTTACTTTTTTCCCTCCAGTGCCTGTTCAGAGAGAGGAGGGAGGCTCCAAATAGAGCAGAGTTAAGGTTGCGCATCCATGTCTTGATTTCAGATGGGCCCCACGCTGTGTGGATATTTGGTTGGATTTTTCCAAGAGGAGTGGTTGCCAGTTTTAAAGGTCCTGTCCTGCAGTTACTCGTGTTTTTGTCCAGAGAAAACTGTGTTTACTAAAGTATCCGATGCATCTGGAGGGAGGTCTGGGCCACGATCTGGGATGTATTTCTCAACCCATGCTAACAGTTTCTGAGAACTGGTGTTGCAGTAGGTCTTGGGGGAAATGGAAATCACCAAAACGTCTGAAAAACATATCTGAACTCTGGGTAAGTATTTGGGGGAAAAGGCATCTGAGTCCATCTCACTGCTGCCTTGACTGTAGCTGGGGGAAAGTGGAGCAGGGATGTGGCTTTTGTTGGTGCTCGGGCACAGGCTCAACGCTGGATGAGAAATGCATTTAAGCAGTTAAATTCCTATCTGGTGGTATCACAATCTCACTACCTGTGTGAGATTCTGGCTCTGTGTTGTGTTTTTAGGAAACATTATGGGCCCAGATTTCAGATGGGCTTTGTGTCCAGCCAGCTCAGAGGCTTCCTGAGCATCCCCAGTCTTGACCCTCCTGCCTTCATGGCTCTGGCCATCCCATGAGGCGGCTGCAGATGTGAGGTTGATGGGCTTGTTCCACCCTTTGAGCAGGGGTCAGGTCTTTCCTGTGTCGCACAAGGGGGCTAGGAGCAATGATTAGGAAATGCAAAAATCTAGGAAGAAGAGGTCTTATCTCCCCCTTCGCGTGGGCCCTTTTGGGTTGAGTCAGCCTCAGATGAAGCCAACAGGCGGCTTCACAGCTGTTGGCATCCCCAGATCAGCACGTTCATATCCCTCTCGCAACGCCAGCCCTCTGTGCTGGGGAGATGTCCCTGTCCCCGGGCGAGGAGCAGCCCTGACAATGGGGGCTGTGTTCTGCACGGCCGGGGGCTGGTGGCACTGCCTGTCCCCAGCACCCACCTACACGCGCCGGCACGGCGGCGGCTTGTTCCTGATGCGCGGCGAGTCGCACCCACATCTGCCCCGAGACAAAGGGGCCCTGGAGGGGGGGTGCCCAGCGTTCTCTCCTCTAAAAATGGGGACGCATTTGGCGTGTGCCCTGTTGTGGGTTTTATTATTTGCCGTTGGTTGGGGCCACTCCGCAGGGATGTGAGGGACGGGTCGGTCCATCAGCACTGGAAGCGCCCGGGGTCGTTCCCACGTAGCTCTGCCCACAGTTTTGGTCCAGAGCCACCGTGTCCCTGCTGCTCCCTTTTGCAGCTCAAAAATCTGCAAATTTATCTCTTCCTGACGTGCACAGCCCCTTTACAGTCCCTGTGCATGCGACGATGGGTCGGATACTCTTCTGCATGCATACCTCCCGTGAACACTGTATATATCGGTGTTTGGGCTCACCCCAAAATTAAAATCAAACGTACTCCCATTTAGTGCAACATGTACAAATATCTCCCAAGCATCTGTGCCAGGAATCTACTGCTTCGTGTCACGGCCATTTCTTTTAGATTAACTAGTACCCAGTCTCAGAAAAAAAATATATATTTTGCTTTCCAGGCTCCAAGCAGCACATAGAGATGTGCGCTGTGTAAACGCCCGCTGTCTTGTGCCTTCCCTCCCGTAGGTCTGTGAATGAGGAGGGGTTTAAAGGACTTTGTGATAGTGATGTGAAACATCAGTATGTGAGCGTAGTAAGGACGCTGGAAATCTTAGCCTCGCTAAATCTCTGGTTGCAGTATTGGCTGATTCAGTTCATAAGTCAGACTTATGCTTAGTAACAGAAAGGCGTAAAACCAGCTGATCCATTACTCATTTTAAGCTGTAACTGGAGAAGTGAACCGCTTTGAAAAATGAAGGCTACAGATCAAAACGATGTCTTCCCTTAGACAGAAAGCTAAAGAAGTAATTCGAAAAAGCTTTGTTCAGCGTGACCCGATCACAGGACTGCAGAAGTCCCGGACACGTCTTTAATTACTGGCCCAGTCCTGTAATTATTCTGTCCTTCAACTATTTTTATTGCAACAGCTGGATTGGAAAATCCTTAGAACAAGCAAAAAAGATCAAAGCAACACGCCCCTCCAAGCCCCTTCACAACCTACAATCTGTCATCTGGTGTAACTGGGACGTTGCGTTCCTGTGGGCTTCAGCCCAAGAGCGAGGACCCAGAGACCCCGATGGCACCCGAGCGGGGCAGTGAGGGGGGCTGGAGGGAGGAACCATTAAACCCATCTTGTTCCCCATGAAGGTAACGGGGAAAAGTGTCCTTAAAAGTTGTCATGCGCCTGTTTGAGCCTGTCTGGGATTAGGAGAGCTCCCGGGGACGTGTGTCAGGGCTGTTTATTTTCCCGTGACATCTGCTCCTCGCTGGCTCCCAGCAGCGTTCCCTGCGGTACCCGGAGCCCCCCGGCAGCCCCGCGCTCGACAGGTTTTCTCTCTTGTGCTGGCCCCCCCCCCCTCCCTCCCGCACTTCCTTCGTGCCGGGCTCGGGAACAGCTGAAGGGGTAGCAGCATCCAAAGCTGCAGCCGGTGATTTATATTTCATGAAGACGGGCTCTCCTTGCTTGCCAAATGGCCTCTCCACGCTGCTCCCCTGCCTGGCGACATCCCACCTCGGCAAGAGCCTGCGCGAGGGCCAGGAGGAGCGGCGCGGAGCAGGGCTGGGGATTTTCCACTGCTTGCTGCCCTGGTGTTATTTTTGTTCTTTAGCTGAGAGATCTGTCTGCACGGCTGATGCCCTTTTTATAACTCAATTACAGAGAGTTATAACTCAGCTGTGATGCAACCTCTGCACCACAGCGGCCTTTTCTGAGGGGGCTGTTGTTGTACGGCCTAGGTCATTTATCCTCCTTTCTGCTCTTTTTTTTTAATCTGCATTTAGTCTGTTGGTTTGTTAACAGCAAAGTAAAAGATGTGTGTATGGAAAATGCAGATGATAACCTGGGAGTCCCTGGGACTCTCTGGGGAGGAAAACCGCTGGAGCCTGGTTGGGAATGGGCTCGTTTAGAGACCAGTTGGGGGAAGGTCCCACCATGTCCTGACTCCTGCTAGAGCTGTGCTGGCTCAGTGACAGGCTCTTTGGGGCATGGGGGGGTCCCTGGAGCCGGCTCCTGGCTATTGCCAGGCTGCATGTGGAGGCAGAGCTCATCCTGGATGGAGAGGATGTTTGCTAGGTGGTACTTCTGCATAAAATACTTTTTTTTTAAACAGCAATTCATCCTTTTTATTTCACCCTGCGGGGACTGTTCGCTGCTTTTGTGTTCGGTTGCTCAGAGTAACGTTCCGTCAGTCCCAGAGGAAAGCACAGTCCTTCTCCTTCCACCCGAGACCTCCGAGCACAAATAACCCCCATGAAGCTGATTTTCTGTCAGCAGAACAACCCAGAGGTTGGGAGGACAGTGACCACAGGCTTATACCTGGGTCACCAGAGCCTGAAAACTATTTCTGGCACTATTCACCCCTTCATGCCTCCCCACAAATATTTCTGGGTTGGAAACTCTCTCCACAGTTGCCGAAGGGAAGACGACAGACACAGACACAGAGCTGTAAATGGCTCAGTGACCGCTGGGGTTGTGTTCGTTTTGCAGCTGAGGATCCATCTGTGGGTGCCGCTGGTCTGCTCGCCTCGGGGGTCACAACTGAGGTCCTGACACTGCCCAGGCGTCCAAAATGGTCGTGGAAAGACACCACCTCACCCGTGCAGGAATAGCGTTCGCTCTCTACCTTCATCACCTCGTCAGCGCCATCGAAGTCCCTCTGGATTGTAAGTTATGGTTTACCCCTCTAAAAACTCCTGCTGAAACGGTTGAGAAGGTAGAGTGAAGATGTGCACAGCCCAGGCTGCTTCCCTGGTCCAGCCTAAGGTTTTCTTTACTGTTGTTTGAGGCTATTTTTCTTTTCGAACCACATGCCCTCCAGAAAGTCACCCAAATCGCTCTCTGATTTAGTCAATCTGTCTCAAAAGCTGAGCAGAGTACTTAAAGCCACATATCAAAATGGAACAGAGCATCTGAGCCAAGCTGGCAAGTCTTGAGCCTGATGATTTAAGCGGAACACCCCAGGGCTTCTGCTGTTCCTACGGAGCACGGGCAGGTTTTGGGGTGCTCTTTTGTGGGGAACATCGGCTTGTTGCTAGTCTTATCTGGTAGATGCTGCCATGAGCTGACACCTCGAGGGCAGTGGGGAGCCGAGGCAGATCCTGCAGAGCAATGCGATTTTTCTCTCTCTGTTGGGACATTTTGGTTAATTATAAGACAGGACTTATTCAGAAGCACAAGTGCTGGGGGATACGGAGTGAAGAGGAAGGTCAGCGCATGGGAAGTGCGTGACTTATCTGAGTGCACTTGAGACGGGGGTTCGTACTGAGAGCTGCTCAGCCACTGTTCTGGAAACCAGTTTCATAATTTCTTTGTGTCCCAGCTTCCTCCTGTAGCGGCTGTAGATAATAATCAGCCTGTCGCTGCGGGGAATCTCTTCCGACAGCGCCATGGCCAGAAATCCTGCAGCGAGCAGTGCGTTAGTAGAAAAAGCACAGCTTTTCGCTGGGGTCTAAATTCAGGCTGGAGTGCCAGGGTTGCTCTTGATAAGAGATATTTCCACCCTGTGGGTTGTTGCTCTGTGGAGCCCTGGGTGTGCTGGCGGTCGCCGTGGTACCTCAGCTGATCCCTGACTCCAGGCAGCAAAAACGGGGAGGAAGAATTTGAAGTCATGGCTTTTGGCTGAAATTTGGAACTGACTGAAGAGAAAGGGTGGGAAAGCTCTGATTTGCGGAGGGGAATCAACACTTGAAAGCGTAGGGAGGGAGTCCCAGACCCAAGTGCCTGCTCTGCTCCATTTCAGATGATTGTGGATGAAAATATAACATGCACGGGGTCCTCTTGTTCCCAGTAATGGGAATTTTATTGGGTGCACACAGCTCGGTGGTTCCTGCAGGCCTGGCTTTGTTAGCATCTATAATACTGCAAAAATGCAGGCAGGCAGCATGGAAGTAGGGGCCAGTGCAGTTGGGGAAAACTGAACGGGTCTGCAAACATCCACCTTCTGCCATTTCTTGTGCTTTGCATCAGGAAAGGAGTAATTCTGCTACTGAAATGTAATGTGACCTTAGGAAAGCAAGAGAAATGCTGACAGCTGGTGGAGAAATGCTCGAGGCAGCCTGCAGCAGCTCACCATTTCTCAGCAGCTCACCGTTTCTTTAGCCTCCTCCTCTTCCTCCTCCTCCCTGCTGCACAGCACAGAGCCACAGGGGAGCATCGTCCCCTCCAGTGCTGGTGGGAAACTGGGACCGTAATTAAGAGCATCCTTTGTCCTTTCCTGAGCGGGTGCCTTGCACGATGGGTGTTTGTAAATAGTGTGCACGGAGGCAGTTGTGCACAGCAGTGCCAAGGGCAGGGGGGTGAGAAGCATCTCCCAGCCCTGGGCGAGGGTCGGGGATCCTGTCCCCACCAGCTGACCCTTCCCAACCTCCCTTGGCTCTTTTGGACACATGGAGCATCAACTTTGTTTTACTTTTGACTTCCATCCCGACCTTCAGAGCCTTCGGGGTTGGCTTTCAGCTCCTGTCTAAGCCACCTGCTGCTCAGGGCTCCCTTACCCACCGCTCGTGTGTGAGACTGAGCTAATGACAGCATCGCCGGCCCTCCAGCGGCTGCAGGTTTGACCAGGTGGGGTGTAAAGCCCCCCAGCTGCTGTGGCTTTGCGCAAGATGTGCAAATCACAGGCTCTGAGTGCCCGGGCTCCATCCACCACGTCCCGCTGGCTGTGAACGTCCTCCCTGCTCCACCGAGATGGGCTCCTTCGGCCAGGGGCTGGGGAGTGGGCTCTGCCTCGTCCCCTGCCTGCTGAGAGAACCCCCACCTGCCCTGGGGATGCTGGTGGGCACCCAGCTGCCCTTGCTGAGACACCTTGGGAGTCAGAGATCTCCCCAGGAAGGCGTTCTGCTCCCCAGACCTTATCATTTCAGGGCAGATGCGGGACAAAGCTGCAGGGTCCCCTCACGGCACAGGGACCAGCTCTCAATCACCCTCTGTCAGAGGGAGCTGTAATATTTGTTCTTTATTTTAAGCTTGCCTACATGCTTTTTCCCTGTCCCAACCCTAACAAGTTTTCTTCTCTGGATAAAATCCTGCCTGCCCCTGTCCTGGGGACAGGGTGTATTTATCTCCCTAATTTACAGGCAGCTTCTCTGAGTCTGAGCATCACCTAAAAAGCCAGCTGAGGGGTTATCAGGCATGTGTTAGCCTCTGACTCAGGGGGATGAAACTGGGGGGCCTCTGGCCATAGGAAACGAGGGAATGTTGCTCACTCCTGCGGGCAACCCGCTGGACCACAGGGCCACCAATGCCTGCAGGCGAGTGGTGCGAGTATGCCTGTGCCCTCTTTTAGCCCCCAGAGCCCCTGCTGCAGAGGCCGCTGGCAAGAATATTCAGAAGCAGCTTCTCCCACGTGGACAGTCAGTAGGTAGATTAGAACATGCCTGAAACATAAGATGGTTTGTGTGCAGTATTTACAAGCCCTACAACAGCGCTACGGGTCTATGTTTGTGTACCTGACGTATATAGCGAAGTTCTCCAATTAACCTTTTTTCTTTTTCCCTGTTATGCTCGCACTTTGGAAATAACAGCAAATATTCAGAGTGAATGTAAGTGTTCCCCTCGCCCTCTGCGTTGTACATGTCCGTCTCCTCTGCATGGCTGAAAGAGGGCACGAGGGATCCGCACCGAGCAGGGGGTTGCATGGAGCCGGGGGCCGGTGGCGGTTGTTGCTTGGCACAGGGTGGACGTAGCAGCGTTGCCCGCTCCTGCGGCGGGGCTGGACGGGGTCAGGACGAGCCACTTGTGCACAGCCAGGCATGTTGGGAGAGCCCCGGGAGGTGCTGGAGCAGCTTGGGAGGAGCGCTTAGGCTCTGCCGCTTTCCCCGGAGCGGGTCTAGCAACCAGGCAGGGTCTTTGCAATGCAGATATTGTTTCTGTGGAGGGTTGTTATTGCTTATGCCATGTCTCGGAGGAGAGCGGGCTCCCCGGCCTTGAGCAAGTGCCGAGCTCAGCTCCACGTACCGACACGTTTGCAGCATCTCTAGCTCTGCCCTTCTGAACACCAACACCGTGCTCCTTTGGGGTAAATCTGGGAGGTTTCGAGCCTCTTTTTTTTTTTTTGCACAGGGGGTACCTGTAAATGCCTTCCAGTGTCTCTCTGGCTCCCTGTCCCAGCTGCAGCCCCTCTCTTTTGAGGTGCACAGCCAGGATGCCTCTCAGTCAAATGACCTGAGGTAGCAGGAAGATGTAAATGTGAAATTTCTTACTGGGGCCAAGTTACCAAGTGAGAAACAGGGGCTTCCTGGTACTGAAAGCAGTGCCAGTGCTCGGAGGGGTGATGAGTAGCACCCCCCACAAATGCTCATGGTAATTTCCTCAGGTGTTGAGCTTTAAACCACGAATTGCACATCCAGCCTGGGGAAGAAGCTGAAATCCCATCAGGATCTGCTGCAGGATGGCAGAGAGGGCATTCACCCTCTTCTCACAACCCTCCCCTCACTGCTTTTCGTTTGCTTTCCAGTGACTCAGCCCCCCACAATCACCAAGCAGTCCGTGAAGGACTACATCGTGGACCCCAGGGATAACATCTTCATTGAATGTGAAGCCAAAGGGAATCCCGTTCCCACGTAAGTGCAGCTACAGGCCTCGTAACGCAGGAGCTCTGCTCTTGGCTAGAGCTGGCTCTGGAGGAGCTGCCCTCTGGTCCAGCTCTGCCATCAACACCATCAGCCGCTGGCTTGCACGGCACAGGTAAGGATCTTGCTGGGTAAATATGGTCTGTGGTTACAAAACCAACCTCTCCCCCGTGCTTGCAGTTTTTCCTGGACGCGGAATGGGAAGTTCTTCAACGTGGCCAAGGACCCCAAAGTGTCCATGCGACGGCGCTCGGGGACGCTTGTCATTGACTTCCACAGTGGGGGACGGCCAGAGGACTACGAGGGCGAGTACCAGTGTTTTGCCCGGAATGACTACGGCACTGCTCTCTCCAGTAAAATCCACCTCCAGGTTTCGAGTGAGTAACAGCAGTGGCGCAGAGCAAGCAGCGAGCAACCCCAAGGAGCACTATTTGCATCGTATGAGATTTTGTAGAAGAGGCATGGAGAATATCCAGTGCTCAAACATCTCAGCCTGCTTCTTCTGTTACCTGTGTTGGGTTGTATCCAGCCACAGGACTGAGAGGAAGACACGGGGGTTATGGCTGTAGCTATCAGGGAAATACCTGATACGGATTTCAGGGAGTCTTGCGCATGCAGAAATTAAGTTTGCATTGGGGCTGCTCCATTGAAACCGGGCCAGGTCCTGCGGGAAGAGATCTGAAAAGTTACTGCTTTCTTCACGCGGTGTCTTTCCTTCTCGCGGCAGAGTCTCCCCTGTGGCCCAAGGAGAAGGTGGATGTGATAGAGGTGGATGAAGGTGCTCCACTCAGCCTGCAGTGCAACCCGCCGCCCGGCCTTCCCTCTCCCGTCATCTTCTGGATGAGCAGCTGTGAGTCGGGGAACCCCCTTCCTACCTCGGACCCTGTGGGCAGCCTTTCCCTCCCCTGTAGTCTTTATATAAAATAACCGGGTTTAGCTACTGCTCGTTCAGAGCTTGGCAGCACCCACACGTGGCTCGGGTCCGGGGTTTCTGCTTTACGCAGCCACCCGCGGGAGCAGCTGGCTTGCTCTGAACGCCTGTTCCCCCTGCAGCCATGGAGCCCATCCACCAGGACAAGCGGGTGTCCCAGGGCCAGAACGGTGACCTGTACTTCTCCAACGTCATGCTGCAGGACGCCCAGACCGACTACAGCTGCAACGCGCGCTTCCACTTCACCCACACCATTCAGCAGAAAAACCCCTACACCCTCAAGGTGAAAACCAGTAAGTGTCATGCTGATAGCTCAGGATGGGTCTTCCCTGGCCTCTCTCGGGCAGGGTTTTCCTTCCAGACTCCCTTGTTTCTGTCCTTGACAGCACTGAGACCTACCAGGGAGAAGAGTGGCTTGCTTGGTTTTGTTTAGGATAGTGCAAGAACGGGTTTGGATGAGGAATGCTGCTCCTCGGACAGCTAACCTGGCAGGGAGAGGTGGCTGGTTTCCCTACAGCATCCCAGAGCTTTGCAACGTCATGGGCTGAGGGCTGCAGAGGTAGCTTGAGGCGGGTATCGCTAAGTCCGTGTGTCTGGGATAAACTGGAAAGCATTTCAGCGCAGATGGGGCACTCCCCCCATCTTTAGGGAAGTGTGTAACATCAGGTGATCTTTCCCTAGTTTGAAAAGCTGGAAGCAGCCTTGGTTTGCTCCAGGCTTAGCTCCAGTTTACATGCTGGTGCTGCACAGGGGGACGGTGTGTCAAGCTTGCACAGTTCAGGATTTACCTGCTGGCCGGGAGCTGCTGTTTAGCTCCTTTGCTCTGGGATGTGCTGACAGGAGCCTTTGCGGTCTGAGCACGTACACGTGGGACGTGCTCAGGATGGGCAGCGACCTCAGTTTCACCACGGTGACGCGCGTCGCCGCGGGGAACAGGAGGAGCAGGTGTGTGGTGAAGAGCCCTTCCACGGGCAGGTCCAGCCACCAGCAGTCTCTCCTCTCCTCCAGAAACAAGACTGCTCAAAGGGAGGCGAGTTCCTGACGCTAACGCATTTCGTGGCAGCTGGCAGGTGGGGATGCTGGCAGGGGGAAGACGAGCCGAGCGCTGCAGGACACGAAGCTCTTGGGTTGATGCAGGTTCTGCAGAGCATGGGCTCTCTTCTGGGGACTGGGTGTGTGCAGAGCACTGGCACAACAGGCAACCGACACAGAAATGGCATCTACAAACCCCAGTCATCACCCAATCTCCCGTTCCCAGTCAGGTCAGACTGGGAGGAGGGGGTAGTGCGTGCAAGGCTGTGTTTTGGGGAGCAGGCTCTTGCCCAAAGCAGGCTCGAGGAGCTGCTGAATCCCAGCATTCGGAGCTTAATTTGATTTTGCAGCAGCTTAAATTAGAAGTAACTCTATTATAAAGTGACCTGAAAGTGATGCGAGAAGCAGACGGGGTCTGGAGTGTTTTGCACTTTTATTGTAACAGCTTCTCCTCTGTGCAAAGCGTGAGCAGAGAAGCAGCAATATAAACGCTATAAGCAGGCTTTATGCTGACGGTGAGGGATGCGTGTAGGTAATTCACTCCGAATATTATTTGTCTGTTTAGAGCTGGCCAGACAAAGCCAATGTCTAGCTGTTAGGGAAGGACCGAGCTGGAGAAATTCTGGCAACCAAAGATCTGTGATCATTTGTGCCTCCGAAGGCTCCAGCCTGACGTATTTGTCAAGTGTTAGAAAAAAGACGGAAGAAATCCTGGAAGATTTCTGTGCAGACAGATACAAGCTCCCCCCTCCTGCTACCCTCAGATGCTGCCACAGCGTTTTGCTCCCAGGCTGTGTACAATTGGTTTCCCATTATACTGGACCCTATCTTTAAGTTTTCCCTTGGAAATGTCTGCTGTATTACGAGATGCAAATTCCACCCCATGAGCCCCCCAGAGGCCCTTATAATTTAAAGAACTGACGCTCTAATTTCTCATCTGTTACGACACAAAAAAAAAAATTCTTTTCACATACAGTGTTCAGAGGAGACGAGCTTGTATTTGTCTCAAGCTGTTCAATCATCTCAGCCTTAAGCCATGAGCATTGGCTGTCCTTAAAAAAAAAAAAAGTCACCAGCTGCTGAAAAATCATCGCACGGGATTGCTGTGCCCTTGGATGCAAGAAGAGGAAAATGGAAAGGCTTGGGGGAGCGATGCAGCCCTGCAGAGTTTCTCTGGCGTATGCAGGTTCAGGTGGCTCTCGGGCGTCTTGCACAGAGACACGATGCGTGGCTGATGACTTCAGGCTCAGGGCAACAACCATACGGTCGCCAACAGAGCCTCTTGCATCCCCTGTGGGCAGATGACACCGTAACACTGGTGTAAACCAGGGCGTTCTCAGCCCCCAGAGCAGTATTTTGGGTCAGGGTGTGAGCTGAGGAGGGCTGATCCTCTGGTGGCCATGGGCCGGTGCTTCCCCTCGCTCCTCGCAGCGCGCGGGTGGCAATTAGTTTTTCCTTGAGTAGAGGTGATAGCTGGCAGTGGTTGTCAATAAACGAGAGCAGCGTGTTATTGAAGAGCTGTAACGCAATCTACTTTAATTACCTCGTAATTAAAAGGGATTTTACAGCAGATTATGCTTTTAGAGCCTAATTATTATTTTTATTTGTTCATCTTTGCCGTCCCTTTCTGCACCGTTACGCTGCTGCCTAGCTGTGTCCAACCTATGCTTTATGCTGGGGGAAAGTAATCAGAATACGTTTCCCTCGCAGAAACTGAGAGAAAAAGCATTTTCTCCAAAGTGAGCTGATTTCATTGTTGCTGTTTTCGAAGATAAAAATGCCTTTATACAAAAAAACCCCCACAAAACCAAAACAAAAAACAAACAAAAAAAAAGCACTTCAAGGAAATGTTTATGATACAATTTTCATACATTTATTTGTCTTCCCATGTCGTAGGAGGAAAACAGCCCTCTTTTCCTCTCCTCTATTGCTGTGTTATGTTGTCTGTCCTGAAAGGCAGCTGTGCTCAGAGTGCTTTTGTATCCCTGCTGTTGCCTGTCCTCATTGCTCTTGTGTTTCGGGAAGTTATTTTGTTTTCTGTCCCCCCGCACCGCCTCGTCCCCCTGCCCGCTTCGTGGCACTCGGTACGCTCATGGTCTTTTGTTTATTGCAGAGAAACCCCATAACGAAACGTCTTTACGAAATCACACTGACATGTACAGTGGTGAGTCAATGCTGGCTTCTGGAGACCTTCACGATTTTTAACCCCTTTCTGCCTAACCCGACTTATCTCCCGCGCTAACCGGGCAGCGAGCCGCCGCGTTCGCAGCATCCTCCGCCCTTCGTCTGAGCCCGCGCACCCCCCCGTGTGTGCCCGTGTCCCCCCCTTGAGGGTTATGGCCTCAACTTTGCAAAAACGGGTGGGACGAAACGAGCCAAACGGTGACAAAATCCCCCTCGGAGTTTTGACGTCTTAAAATTATTGAGTTTTAAGCTAATTAAGTGGATCTGCAGAGCCCAGCTTGAGAGGCATTTGGATGCGTAGGATCTGGTCCACGTGAAAACATCTGCGTGGCTGAGCGAGCCCAGCTTGCTCCTTCGCTGAAGAGGTGGCTTGTCCTCAGCAAAGTCTTACGATTTAAAGATAAGACCCACCATCCCTCTGTCTTCAGAAAGAGCATCTATTGTATTTGCAGCTAAACACGGGCAGTGACTGGGAGAAAAAAAAAAAAAAAAAAAAAAAATATTTGGTTTTATTGAAAGCTGTGTGCTTTGTTTCTTTGTGGTGAGGTTGTACATGTGCTGGATGCTTTCACAAGGCTCTTGCCCTTTGTCTGGGCAGGGAGATTACCTCGGGAGCCTGCGTTTGCTGGGAGAAGCCCATCCCAAACTCATAAATTATGCTTCAGACACAGAACCGCGCGGCTCCCCGGGGCGCGATCGCTGCCCTGAGAATAGATTGGAAGCGTCACGGACGTGAGGGGATAATGTGGGCAGAGTTGGGAGGCAGGAGGGGCTGGTCGGGGAGCAGGGAGATGGGGCTGTTTGCGGGCGATGCTGAGAGCACAGGCACTACCAGGGATGCAAATGCTTCGCCACCACGGAGTCCGATTGCCCCAAGGCCCCGCGCTGTGGTGGGCAGGATTTGCTTTTTTGCCCCTCTTGCTGCTTATGGGGGACCAGGGTTGTGTGGCAGTGGGATGGGGTCAACCCCAACCGTGCCCTGTACTGGTCCCTGGCCATGCCCTGCAGCAAAACCCTGCTCAGCTGTTGTCTCACCCTCTTCCACCCAGAGCCACGGGTTTGTCTGTTCCCTGCATGATCCAGGGCACATTTTCTTCTTCCACGGAGAGTTTTGGGGACAAGGAGTGCTTTTGCCAGCTAAAAGCAGAGAAAGTTGGAGTGTGAGAAGAGGAGGACGTGCCAAGCGAGGGACACTGAGTTCAGTGGCCCCGGCAGGCAGCCCAGGCATCCCTTCCCCACTGAGGGAATTGGGGTCGGCATCTTACTGGCAGCCAGGAGTGGGAGGTTTCTGAGGATGCTGGAGAGCTGGGGGAGGCTCAACAGAGGGAATCAGCCTCCGAGGAAATACTGGTGGCAGCAAATGGGTTGGGCGTAGTCTGAAAATATTTGTAGGAATGGCTGTGAAAGGGGATTGGCAGCAAAACTTAGCTCCAATGGGAACCACATAAACAACATCATGCCTCAGCGAGAGGTGAGTGAGAGGAGATGCCTCTCACAGGCACACAGGGCCAGGGACAAAAGAGAAATGGTGAGCTCTCCTGTAAATGTATCTTGCACCTCAGCAGCTTAAACGATGTTTGGATTTCAAAGAGAATGCCTTCACGCTGGCTGGGCACCACTTCTGTGTTTGCAGCCTTCGCTGGTGCAGGAGGGGAAATCACCGTGGTGGTCGTGGGCTTCTTGATCTTCCACTGCATGTCTTTGTTCAGGGAAAAGGGATGGTTAATAGCCACTTGGTCAGGAAAATGAGACCTTATCTGCCCAGGCTCAGAGGTTTCTCCAGATTTCTATCCGTAGGTGCACAGATAAACTCTTGGCGTCATACGGGCTATTTGCACTTCGTGTCCCCTGGAACGGTGGATTCAAGTGACCCACTCGTGCCCCTGTGCAAATCTGAGCTCCAACCCGGAAATTTCTTAATAGATAATGAACTGGTGAAAAAATTTCTTACTCTCAGCACTTTTTGTTTTTGCTAACCCCGTGTTTCGCCCTGGAATGACCAGTCTGGCCAAACTGGTTACTGGAACCAACTGCAGCACAGCAGGGACTTAGGGCAGGGGTGTGGGGAAGAGGGACATCAGTCTCGCAAGTGGTTTTAGGTGTTTGGGAGACTTGGGGCTCTCGGACCTTGGGGTGCTGGTCCCTACGAAGGGCTCTATGGAGCTGGGGGGGGTGGGCACCACGCAGCAAAGCAGCGGGAGGCTGCGAGTCCCCCTCCCCGCCGGGCTGCGATGGGTGTGTGTGTGCCCGAGCGCGCCTCGGGGACATGGGACCTGCTGGCACGGACGTGGGGCACGAGCAGTTCGTCCCAAAGTGTGCTCAAGGGCCGGGCTGATGGTGGGAGATGTCACTGAGCCCTTCTCCCCACGGCTCGTGGAGGGGTGCAGTGATCTCCTTGCTGCAAAGCTCAAACTGTCTTCAATTATGAAGGAAAAAAATGTTCTAAAAGGAATAACTGAATATTTTATTAGCAGAAGTTTCTCACCTTTTTTTAAAAATTGAAATTAAAGTCTGGTTTATGCTTTTTTTCTCTCCTTTTTTTTTTTTTTTTTTTTTTTTTTTTTTCCTTCTGGCAAACCTGCGGGATGTTGTAAAGCTGGCTAGCTGTGCAGGAGGCGAACAGATGGGATGAGTCTGGATGTGCATATTCCCATTATCGCCTTTCGGTAGAAATGCAAGTTGATGTAAAATTTTTAGATGTAAAATTTTTAAATCCCATCGGGTCAGGGCTGCGGGGAGGGGGTCACTTGGCTGCTCTGGGGTGAGAAGTGGCTGTTTCTGGGATATCCTGTTCACAGGTGAACGGGTCCAGTTTCATAGAGGCAGGGACGACAGCAGCAGTATATTGGAAGCAGAGCGTCTTTCCGAGCAGAAATAAACAGCCATGGGATTTATTTCCGAGCAGAAATAAACAGCCATGGGATTTATTTTTCCAGTTCTGTTCCTTGAAAACAGATGAGTGAGACGTTGCTGTTTGTCTGACAGCTCCCAGCTGTAGCTGCTGCAAGTTCAGAGCCGGAACTGTAAACTCTTCGGGGGAGAATTTCTGGCCTCTCCCCGTTTTAAACAGCAAAATATTTATTAGTAGTGCTGGACTAAGGCAAAAAGCTTATCAGCTATGCAGTGTTGTTGTTAGGTTTATTAAACAATTGGCTAGGGTACTAATTTTATCTCCCTTATTTTTAATTTTCATCATTAATATATGGCTCGTAAAATTTGGCTTGCACTGCTGCTTATCTCTTCTAGTTATGCCCCGGGCTCCAGAGCAAATGGGTTCATAGTGGGAGTGAAGCTTACAGCCTGTTCAAACAGGCTGCGGACCGTTGGCTAATAAAAGCCAAGATTGGGTTATAAACTAATACCCAGCTTTCCTAATCACACGACAGAAGTTCATGAGTTTGGCTAGGGGGATGGGAGCTGTTGATAAATACTGGCTTTAAACCCAGCTGCTGGCTCTGTCAAGCCCTGGCAGAGCCCGGGCATGGGTGGGCTGGTTTTCATCAGGAATGAGATCCTCTCCAGAGCAGCATGTGCCTGCCCAGAGAGCTGTGGCCTTTCACGATAAGGTCAAGATTTGCCAACCCTGGTAATCCATTAATCAAATAATTGACTAACCTGCCGACGAGCACATGGCTGGTAACCTGCGGGTGCGGGGGAGCGGTGGGATGCGCGTGTGGCCGCGCTCCGGAGGCGTTTCAAAGGCACGGTTTAACTCCTGGGCTTGTTTGTTTTTTTTTTTTAATCCCTCTGAGCCTGCTCCCAGGCTTTCCCTAAGGCAGGCTGATGGGAACCCCACGAACTGCCCCTTCCCTCTCTCCCCTCCTCCTTCCCAGCTCTTTGCCCCTTCCAGAGCTCAGGTGGAGGTTTCCTAAACAGACGTGGGCATCCCCAAAAGCCCCGCTGGGCGCTGGGCATGCCTGCCTGCCTCCTGCTTGCAGAGCGAATGAAGCTTTTGGGGCAGTGGGACAGGGCTTGGTCTGCACCCCAAGATCCTGCTCCTGCACCGGGGAGGGCTCGCCCCACGCATCACTTCGGTATTTGTAGTGACCCGGTGTCAACCCCGGCCATTCTGTCCCCTTTCCTAATCTCATAACCTCCGTCTCTGCTACTGCTGCTTTTAAGCCCATCTCATCCTGTTTTGTCCTCACTGATCTAGATCTAGTTTAATAACTCCACTTATTAATGGAATTGATTCCATTAATAATTTTTTTTTCCCCTACAAGGAGACCTTTGCTGTGTGTATCTGTAGAGAGTTGTCTTGTGTGTGTGTGTCCCTGTTTCTTTCCCGTTCAATTTTCCTGTCCAGTCCTGAAATTTGTCATTTTGGTCGCTAAGTTGTTCCTTCCCAAAGGGCACTGTCCTTGCAGGCCCCGCAGCTCCTAGGAAGGGTGGGAAACCTCCTTGGTGCTGCTAGATCCCCAGACAGCACCGGGATCCTCCGTATTTTGGAGATCTCAGTTGTCTGAGTAAACCCTTCCTGTGCCCCTTTGTTCCTTTTGTCCTTCATTACATGTTCTGTCCATCAGTATTTCCAAGTCTCATCCGATTTCAACCCATTTCTCTGTGCTAGAGGCAGGGGTGGGCGGGAGCTGACGGTGCCAGGACATCCCTGATGCACCATCCCCGCAGCTCAGCTCCCTCCGCCCATCCTCTGCTGCTTCTTTACCTCCCTGCCTGCCAAGCATCCTCTCTCTACCCCCTTTTTTTTTTTTTTTTTTTTTACTTTAAAAATTAAAATTACCTTGAGCCCTTCTCTACTTTCCAGGTACACTTCTGGGTGAATTCAGCATCCCAGGCGTGGCCAGAAACTCGACAGCCTGCCCCCCAATTCACCCTTCACATGCCCTCCCCATTGTTGCAGCAAAGGAGAGTTTAAAAGCATTCTGTTTTGTTTGTTTTTTGTTTTGTTTTTTTTTTTCCTCTCCTGCTGATTTCAGCCCGAGGGATTACGGAAACAACTCCCAGCTTCATGTATCCCTACGGGACCTCAAGCAGTCAGATGGTGCTCCGAGGGGTGGACCTCTTGCTGGAGTGCATTGCTTCAGGAGTGTACGTACCACTTCCCACCCGGGGGAGGTGGGGACAGGGCGGTCCCCAGCAGCCCCCGGTGGAATGGACTGGGACCAAGGTGCTGTGGGAATACCTCTGGCTAGGGAAAAGGGGATCGCTCCTTTCCTTTTAACTGCTGTTAATAATATTCTCATAACCTGCTTGAAGCATAAGAGCATGGAGCAAACAGGAGAGATGAGTTTTGCAGCACTGCCCGGACAAGCAGGTCTCTTCGGACACTTGCTGTGCAGGGATAATTCCTCACCGGTTTGTCCTTGGAGCTATTGTCCAATCTCCTGGGTGCTCCTCACCGCACTGTATAAACTGCGGGTGAGGACATTTGTGGTCCATGTGCCTGCAGAAGCGTCCTGGGCTCGGGTCAGACGTTGGCAGCCCTCCTGGAGCGAGCTGCCTGCGCTGCCCGCACACGCTGCCAGATCAGTGCTCTGCATCCCCAAGTACGAGGCGTGAGATGGACCCTGCTCCTGATCAGCTGGTGCTGCTTGGGGTCCTGGTTTAGGGACTGTGGTAGGAAGGAGAGTGGCCCAGCAGTTGGATGGATGAGTCCTTCTGCCTGGGTGTGAGTGGTTCCAAGTGCAGGATTATCAACTGTTTTTCTTAGGAGTTGTTTTCTTGCCTTGCAAAAGCATTTATCTCCTCCCCTCTCCTTAGACCAGCACCAGACATCATGTGGTACAAGAAAGGAGGAGAACTCCCAGCAGGCAAAACCAAGCTGGAAAACTTTAACAAGGCTCTTCGTATTTCCAACGTCTCCGAGGAAGACTCTGGGGAGTATTTCTGCTTGGCGTCGAACAAGATGGGCAGCATCCGCCACACGATCTCGGTGAGAGTGAAGGGTACGTCATCTTTACCTTGCCGTCTTTTTTAACTTCACAACCAGCAGCTGTGAGGGGACGTGCACGGGAGGGGATGCTCCGATTTGTAGAAAGGGCCGGCAGGGGCTTTCTGTGGGGGCTGTCTCTGGGCTGTATCCAGCCATTCTTGCTTCTTGCACAGACCTAAAAGCAGCGTGAGATGCGATCTCAGCTGGTGTAACTCAGCAGAGCTTCACCGACATCAAGGTTGTGGTTTTGTATGGCCAAAGAGATGGGGGGGAAGAGGACTTTCCACCCTCGCTGCGCTCGAGGACGGTATTTTCATCGTCTTAGCTCAGCAGGGAGCAGCGGAGAGGGGATTTTGGATGGGGTAGGGCTGCTGCGTCTGTAACTGGTGCGTTGGTGTATTTTAAAGCTGCTCCATACTGGTTGGACGAACCCCAAAACCTCATTCTGGCCCCGGGTGAGGATGGCAGGCTGGTGTGTCGAGCCAACGGGAACCCCAAGCCTGCGATACAGTGGCTGGTGAATGGCGAGCCTATAGAAGGTGAGCAAGGGAGAGTCTGTGCCTCTTTTTGCAAAAAAAAAAAAACCCTAGCCTGGGATCTCATGGCTGACCATGAGAGTGAGAGCTGCTGTCGGGGTGCCAGGCACCCCACTGAGCAGTGTGTGTGGGCTCCAGCACTGCAGCACGTGAACCACCTGCTTGTCTGAGACGAGGCCAGTTGAACCTTTGTAGGCTTGGGGAGGTCACATACCGTCGTCTGGTTTTATCTGGGCTGAGACGGAAAGATGCGTAAGGATACCGTCTCGTGAATTCTAATTTAAAATGTAATTTAAAGAGCGCTCTCTGTTTTGAAGCTTCTCCCCCCAACCCGAGTCGAGAGGTGTCTGGAGACACCATTGTATTCCGAGACACCCAGATCGGCAGCAGCGCCGTGTACCAATGCAACGCCTCCAACGAGCACGGCTACCTGCTCGCCAACGCCTTTGTCAGCGTCCTGGGTAAGTGCTTGGGGAAGATGAACACTCTGCACTCAAGTTTTCCCTGCAAGAGTCTTCTGTTTGCTTTCCTCTTTGTTGTTAGCTGCTCCGAGGCTAAGGCACAAAGGTACGTGACCTCTGCAGCCAGGCTTTGGAGAAGTCTCTTGTCACAGACCTGCAAAGCCAGGCAAGGCTGAGCAAGTCCTGCCGGCACTAAGATGTGATTCACGTAGCGAGGCTAGAAAGGGAAGGAGAGATGAGAGGGAATGGAGAAGCTCTACTGAGTCTTGGGAGTGCCGACAAGGAACAGCCAACAAAAGAGAAGGGAGGGTGGATGAAAAGACCTGGAAAGGCAGCAGCGGTCTGGAAACTGGTTTCTTTTCTTTCTCAACGGCTGGGATTTTTGCTGTTTGCAGACGTGCCTCCACGGATACTGGCCCCCCGCAATCAGCTCATCAAGGTCATTCAAAACAACAGGACCCGGCTCGACTGCCCCTTCTTTGGCTCACCGATCCCCACCCTGAGATGGTAAGAGCTGCAGCACGTCCCCTGTCAGTCCGGGGGGGGTGGGATGAGGAGGTTTCCTGCTCTTTCTTCCCTTACAATAGCACTTTGTGGTGTTGTGAGGTTTAAGAACGGCCAGGGGAACACGCTGGATGGAGGAAACTACAAGGCACACGAGAATGGGAGCTTGGAGATGACCATGGCTCGGAAGGAGGACCAGGGCATCTACACTTGTGTGGCCACCAACATCCTGGGTAAAGCGGAGGCCCAGGTTCGCCTGGAGGTCAAAGGTAGGGGCAGGAAGGGCTCTAGGTCAGAATGGTCTCTTGAATCTTCTGAAACTTGCAGCAGAAATAATAATTTAAGTTAAGGGAGGGTTGTTTGCGTGCTCTAGCAGTCTGTCCGCAGGACAGGCACTACGTATTTTGGAGCTGGAATCCAGAAAATGGGATTCCCTTTTAATGTTTGGAAAAAAAATGAAGGCTGTGGATATACTGAAGCTGTAGAATGGATTGGTGTGGATACTGAGCTGAGATGCCATGAGCGATGCAAAAAGAAACACTAAAGTGTTCCTCAGGGTTAACTAATGTCAATAAACCATTTTCTGAACCAAGTTTCCACCGAGGCTTTCCCTGTTCAGCAAAACTGATTGCTGACTCGGAAACCCGGATATCTTTTCAAAGGGTCAGCACGAATTAACGGCTTCTTCAATCAATTTATTTGCAAGTGTTTGTATCGGAGACAGCTCGTTACAGCGAGCTGGACACACATGCTTGTCCTTTCCAAGTAACGCTGCTCTTCACTGAGTTCCTGAGCTGAGACCCAGCAGTTCGGTGCCCAACATTTTCTTTCTGACTTCGTGCAGACCCAACCCGGATTGTGAGAGGACCCGAAGATCAAGTGGTGAAGAGGGGCTCCATGCCTCGCCTCCACTGCCGTGTAAAGCACGACCCTACGCTGAAACTCACGGTCACCTGGCTGAAGGATGATGCGCCCCTGTACATTGGAAACAGGTTTGTGTTTAGCAGTGTCATGGGGTTTTACTCTCACGAGATTGTTGGACGTTTTACAGAATGTTTCAGGAATCACCAGGGGTAACACGGATAAACATCGCGTTCCCATCTTGACGCTTCTAACGTTACTAGCTCCTTCCAACAGACGTTGCCCAGCAATTAAAATTGACTTGCCAATAAATCAAGACTTTGACTATAGGTTTTTATTTACAGATATTTTGGGACATCTTGATAAAATGGGTGGGTTAATAACAAGCTACTTCAAAATGAACGTTTATCTGCTGTGAGTGGCACAGCTGTAATTTCCTTTCCATGGCTGACTCCCTGCTCGTGAAGTGAGCTCTGGTCACAGGACACGAGAGACAGTCAGAGGTCACTGTTTTCCTAAAAAATGTGATTATTCCAGATATATATCAGAGCACATTCGCCGATTCCTTAGGAAATGAAGTTTCTAAGAATAACTCAACACATCCTTAGCTGATAAAATCTTCAGACCAGAGACATACACCTGTTCTGTTTGGACTTTTATATGTATTTTGTGAGAGAACTGTTAGACCTCAATCCTGCTGTCTAATATGCTTAGGCACAGCCGTGTGATTATCATTTTTATCCCTTTAAGGATGAAGAAAGAAGATGATGGTCTGACAATATATGGCGTGGCTGAAAGGGACCAAGGGGATTACACCTGCGTGGCTAGCACGGAGCTGGACAAGGACTCGGCTAAAGCATACCTCACCGTACTGGGTAAAGCTGTCCTCCCAGCTACTGACACAGAGCGAGATGCTTCAGTTCTAATACAACAGACTGGCTTCAAGGTCAGGCTGAAAGGGTGATCTGTGATCACGGAACTGTCCTCCGAAGCAGAGATGCTCAGGGAGATGCTGGCAGAGCAATTGGTCCGTTGCTGCAGGACTCGGCAAGGACGTGCTGTCTAATCTCAGACTCAGACAATGGCATTGAATTTGAGTCAAAGGAAACTTGCGTTTGAGACCAAAAAAAAAAAAAAATAGAGTAGCTATTACACCGGGCTAAAAATATCCAACTGTGGATGTTGAAGCTCTGTGAGAACAGTCCTAAATTTGCAAGCGAGTTTAACTGAATGTCAGGGTGTTGAGCAACACTGGAAGCCTGGAGGTGAATGAGCCACTCCTCGCCTGGCAGGTCCCCTTCCCACCACAGGGAGTGACAGACCTCAGCCCCATTCCCCACGCCCGTTTACGTACAGTGCCAGATTTTACTTGCAAAACACAGATTTATCGATCCCTGCTCTTGGCCACCTCGAGTCTTGCTGACGTGCTGCATCCATGGGAATGCCCTAACCTGCTGACGCCGCTGGCATAGACTCACAGGGCCCTACAAAAGTCAGAGTGCACTATGAATCCCATATTCCTAATAATTTGGCTTATTTCCCTTCCTTTTCCCTTAATAGCTAATTAACTCTATAGCAGGCCGATGCTCCCCCTTTCCTGAGTACCACAAGTATGAATAAAGGTGTGCAGAGCGTGCCTGGAGGTCTCTGGGGGAAGGATGTACCTATTCTGGTCCCCAGCCAGGCCTGGAACCTTCTGAAATCTGTAACTCTGTGTGTAATTTTATATTTGGCAAGTGCTCCTTTGGCCACCCAAGCTTAATGACTAACCTAACACCGTTAACAACCAATGTCTTACCTTGCAGCTGTCCCTGCTAACCGTTTGAGAGAGTTACCGAAAGGTAATCATCACTAATTCATTTGGTTCGTTTTATTTTGTAAATTGATTTTGGTTTGCCTTGCCAATAACGCCAACAGAAAATCTAGGTGTAGCGGCTGGAAAAGCTGGGAGCTGATGCTTCCAAGACCTGTCCGAGTTGTCCTTGAAAACCCATCCCGATGGCTGTGGGTAGAAAGGTCCTGTGCCACATCATTTCATGTTCCAATTCCTGAGTGCAAGAGTCCCTTTCCCCATACCTGGAAATGGTGAGCCCTGATGGGATTAAAAAAAAAATCAGATTGAATCCCTTGACCTTTACCCGGGAAGAAGTTCTTACCGTGACTGTTACTGCATGAGCTGGTTCTGTGCAACCGTGTGGGTGGTGACCAGAGAAAGAAACCGGAATTGTGCCCAGAGTATTTCTAAGTAGTATGTATTTTTATTGAGGCTTTATGTCCCTTCTGTTCTATTTGTTTGCATTTATTTTTCGGACGGCCGTGTGTAGTTTGTTATAAATCCGTATATCCCCCTTGCTAAGCCACTGTATTGTGATTACACCACCAGATAACATCAGTTGTACAGGGAGCAGGTAGGGTTTCAAGACAAGGCACAATTAGCACATTTGTCTTTAAAAAAATTGCACTGGTCCACCAAGAGCTGCAGGATGTGAATCGTGCCACAGAGCGTGTGTCCTCCCGCGGGTCTGGGCGAAGACGGCCAGGGCTTCCCCTCCCGGGAGAAGTGATGGGAACTGGGATTCCCAGCTCCTGGGACAATCCCAGACTAATTTGTCTCGTTACTCGGCCAACAGAACGACCCGACCAGCCCCGTGACTTGGAGCTGACAGACCTGGCCGAGAGGAGCGTGCGGCTGACGTGGATTCCCGGCGATGACAACAACAGCCCCATCACAGGTCAGCCACCGCACCCGCTGCCCCGTATCCCTCCCATTTTCTTCTGCACAGTGGAGGGAAAACTTTCCCTGTGAGCTGAGCCTTTAACCCCACCTCTCCATCCTCTCCCCCAGACTACCTCGTCCAGTTTGAGGAGGACCGGTTCCAACCTGGCATGTGGCATAACCACTCCAGATACCCCGGGAGCGTCAACTCGGCCGTTCTGAGCCTCTCTCCTTACGTCAACTACCAGTTTCGGGTGATTGCAGTGAACGACGTGGGCAGCAGCGTGCCCAGCGTGCCCTCCGAACGCTACCAGACCAGCGGGGCACGTGAGTACCATCTGCCCAGTCCCTCTCGCCGCGGTGACTTGACGTTCTCAGCGTAGACTCTTCCCTCGTGATATATGATCGTAGCTCCTGTGACAGAAACAGATTTACACAGGCGAGGGAATGAGCTGGTCCATGCAGTCACGTGCTGGGGTGTAATTTTATATATTACATCCTCAAACCCATGACTGATATTCTGCAGAGCAGCAAAACTCAAACAGAAAGATTTATGCGAAGGTCGCTCCAGCAGAATCTGTTGAAGGAAAGCCCGTGTTCACCTTAAAGAGAAGCTTTCTAAAGAAAGTCTTTCATCCTTCCTGACCACAGGAAGCTCAGAAGTCTCTTGGAAAATTAGACTCAAGTGTAAACTGGCCACAAGCAAAAGGTATTTTGTTCCAAAATTGCTAATTCAATGTCCACTGCTAGAGCTGGCCAGGAGCCCAGATCGATGCAGGAGTAAAGTGTGCTCCAGTCCACAACCAAGACTCGGGCCTTCAGTTTGTGTGCCCGGTGCTTTGTACGTTGTAGAATACTTGGGAAAATTCACATGGGGAATTCACAAGAAGCAGAGTAGTTTTGCTGCATTCCTTAATTTAACCATTGCAGAGATGCTTCTGCAATATCTACTGGCATCTAGTGTTGGCTTTTGACATTGCTCTACTTGTTTCTGATTCAAAAGTGTCAGACTCGGCTCCTGGGGTTGCTTCACAATGGCTGTCTTACAAAGATTTAGGACATTTGGGGATAAGGGAAAAAAAAAAAAAAAAAAGGAGGCTCTTAAATAAATGACCTGGTTTTCGAGAGTGCTGAGAGTCTCATGTTCCATTAACCTGAATGGGAACTTCTGGAAAAATCAGGCCATTAACTTCTGTCTTGGAAGCACTCCTGGCTTGCACAGTGAAGGGTTTTTAACCGTTCAAATGGTCATTTTTCAACAATATGAACTGGTTTGTTTGTTTGTTTTTTTTTTCTTTTCTCCCAACGTGAATTTCAGGTCCTGAAATTAATCCAACAGGAGTTCAAGGTGCAGGGACCCAAAAAAACAACATGGAGATAACCTGGACGGTGAGTTCTTCCTTGGTGCTTGACAGTCACCCGGCATCTTGCCATTACAGTCACGGATGTGAGGATGTAGAGAACTCAGCATCTCTTCTAGCACGTGTGCTGTACCACACAGAATACCATCACCTTAATGATCATAAAGGAAATAAAAAGCCAAAGATGCATCTCCAAGAGAGGCCGTTGTTAGTGCCTAGACGAAGGTGTGTGATAAAACCAATAATTTGCAACTATGGAAGCCAAAGAAAAGATGCTGGATCAGAGATAGGGGTTAGGCAGGGTGCTCAGAGAGTCTTGATTCCTTAAGCCGTATATAGGGCTTACAGGCCAGCTCTTGCTTTTCTTTGTGGACCAGCAGGTGTCATCCACAAATAAGGCAACATCTGTAAGGAGGGTAGAAATTGCAGTGGGAGTATGGACTGGAATATAAAGATACAGTTCTCAGTCCTGCCTTGGGGCTGGAGGGCAAGGACTAGGTACATCTCTCTCTGGGAACAAAAGTACTGACCCACTTTGAGATTCACTGGTGGAGCATGAAATAAGAACCAGCTGCCGAACAGAACTTGTTGGAGCTCCGTGGCAGAGAGCTACAGTTGCTCTTGCTCCTTCTCCTTCTCACTTTCTTTCTCTGTTTTGGTCCGTTAAGCCTCTGAATGCGACTCAAGCTTATGGGCCCAACCTCAGGTACATCGTGAGATGGAGGCGAAGGGACCCCCGAGGGAGCTGGTACAATGAGACAGTGAAGACACCAAGGCACGTTGTCTGGAACACACCCATCTACGTACCCTACGAGATCAAAGTGCAGGCAGAGAACGACTTCGGTAGAGCCCCGGAGCCTGACACCGTCATCGGCTATTCAGGGGAAGATTGTGAGTACTTTCTCAGCCAGAGATCATAAGTGTTGCAGGGCAAGACCTCACCCAAGGTCAGTGGGTTGGCGCCTGTGCCCGGGACACGTTCACAGCACTGCTTCATTTGGCACAAAAACCCAGTTCCAGGCATTGGAAGAAAGAGGCTTGGCCGTTAGATTCTGTTCTGGGCTCTGCCTCTCCCTTGCTCTCCACAACCCCCAGATAACGCTGTGAGTGTGGCAGACAGTAAGATTTCACTGAAGATGAGCTCTGGCTGTCCTCCAGTAAAACGCACTCAATTATTTTGAGTTCATCTCAGACGAGAGGTGCTATGAATGGCCAAAAAGTTCATCCTGGACTGGATTCTTGTGCCTCTCTGATAAGGCCCCAGCTAAACCCCAGCTTGGGCTCCTGTTTGCAACACACCGTTGGCTCAGCTTATTTTTCTTTAAAACCCGGGTCACGCAGAACAGCAGCCAGCTTGTGGAACTCTCTTTTCACCTTCTTTCTGGGCCACTGGTATCACTTTCTGTGCCTGTAGCATCCAAGACTCTGAACTACGATTATCCTTACCCTGTTAGGATAGTGCGGTTTGCTGCCAACAGCTTTATCTTTAAAGAAATATAGAGTAGTTCTTTGCATTGCAGCATCAGTGGGGTTCCTGGGTGTGGGACTTCAGGATTACCAAGAAATAAGGTAGATAAGCCATGACCCTAGGTTTGAAGTCAAGGAGGCACAAAGAGGAGACAAGAGTTTCAATCAGATCTGCAATCTTGGTGCTAAGAGAGTGCACGGGACACATCCTCTGCCAGAGGAGACGGGGCGACGGGAGGGAAAATGGGCAGAAACGGTGGGAGTCAGGGAAATAGCTGAGCACTGGGAGCAAAGCTGGACCTAGCTGGGAGGCTGTCACTGGAAAAACTCCCCAAGCACCCGCCTGCGCCATCATCTCGGCATTACCACTGTGTACACGTTTTGGGTTTGGTTTTTTTTTTCCTAGTTTCAGTTGAAAATTTAGGCAATAATACTGAGTTTTGTGAGGACCTAAACAAGCCTGCACACGTGTGCTTTACGTGGAGATGAACCGGGGAGGTGAAAGCTCCCGTATCACACCCCAGACACAAATGTGTTCCTGACTGTATCCCAAAGGGTGGGACAAGTTTTAAAAAAACAAACAAACAAAAAAACCCCAAACAAAATAAACTAGTCCCTGCCCTGTCATGTCTGAATTGCTTCAGAAATAACTGGAGCTTTCTACATACAAGCAGGTGACCTGTAAAGAGGAGGTAGAAAACCCCAACTGGATCAACAAGCAGGTTGTGGCCAAATTGATTCACTGGATGTGGAAAGAACAGGTAGTTTTGTAACTCTTGGGTCTAGCGGTGACCAACCAGCTGCAGCAGGAGGGGGCTGGACTTGCCAGAACCCTTCACTCGGAGAGCAAGGTGAGCCAGACCTCGCTAAGGTGATCCCTTGCGGCAGCCCTGCTGTTTACTGGGTCACAAATATTCTCATGATAGCCGGCTGAGTGAAATACGGGGGAGTTTTTCCCTCTTTCTTGTGGAAATGCTGCTAAAAAAAAAAAAAAAAAAAAAACAAAAAACCAACAACCAAACCCAACAAACAATAGTCAGCTTTTACAGCATGCACAGGTCAAGGAGAAAGTGAGGGGGATGGAGGTAAGTGATGCTATTCTGTGTGTTTGTGTGGTCACAGGGGCTGCTCGCCCCAAGCGAGGGCAGCCAGGAAGCTGACAATTGGTCTGTCGCTGCTGCTTTGTTTTATTAAGTTTAGAAATCCTCAGAAATGGAGTGTAAGGAGGGAGAAAAGATTATTATCCCCATGAAATCGCTGCCAGCAGATAGGGCTGGCCGGAGTGCCAGCAGATGGCAGAGCCGGCGTGCGGGGCTGCTGCTCCTCGCCTGGTTTGCAGCCTGTGATGGGAAAACCACAGCAAGGGGGGGGGATAAGAGGGGGTGCCCGTCTGTCTGTCTGTCCTCCGGGGTACCGCTGGGTACCTAACGTACGCTCTGCTTTATTCCTGAACGCTCAGATCCCAAGGCTGCGCCTACGGATGTTAGGATAAGAGTTTTAAACAGCACTGCCATTGCTCTGACCTGGACCCGGGTGCACCTGGACACCATCCAGGGACAGCTCAAGGAGTACAGAGTGAGCAGAACCAAATCTCGTCGGCACTGACAATTAATACAGCTAACCCTCTCAGTAGCCAAGGTGGCCCCGGTGACGGAGCTGCCTGCAATGAGGATGACAGAAAACTCTCCTCCGGCCATTGTGACCCTTTTGCCATGGGTGGGTGCAGACCCCAGGGGCTGAGCTCTGCTCTGGAGCAGCCCCAGAAATGAAAAGCCTCCGTTTGCTCTTTGTGGTGCCTGGACAGGGCTGGGGACATCTCCTGTTGCTGCCCAGGTGCTGGGCTGGTCCTTCCCTGTGCTGGCCTGAACGATCTGGGCTGCTCAAAGCAAGCGGGGCTGCCCTTGTGCCCCCACTGGGAGTGGGTCTACCCGTGCCCCAAGGTGGCTCCTGTCTCTAGAGCTGCCCAGAACCACGGGCTGGGGGGCACTGGGGGGGGAAATGACCTCAGACAGGTACAAGCAGGCTGGTTTTTGTGTCATCCCCAAAGTACCTCCGTTGTCTTTTAATGAACACCAACCCCTGAAAAGCCTAAACCCAGCGGTTCATACTAACTGGCAACTAAAGACAGCACAGATCCTGTTGTGTTTTGGTTTTTTATGTTTTTTTTTTTCCTTTTCGTGTTGAATATTTACTGCTGAGGTGAAATATTAGAGGATACGCCCGGTTCAAAAGAAGCAAAAGTCTGGACAGAGCCCCTTCTATCAGATTTAAGACGTTACCAAAAGCACACGTCCTGCAAACAGCATTTCAAATCCAATAATCCACTGGGCATAAAGCAAGCTCCTTGCTTTTTATTTTCTTCTGCCTTTGCTCTGTCATTCTGGCCTGTTTTCTGAATGAATCTTATTTCTGCATGAAATAAGATTTTAGTCGGGGCTTTGAACGGGGGAGACTTTCCCAGTTCAGACTTTCCTTTGTGCCTGGACACGTCCCGCTTTTCCTTGTCCACCGCTACGGTGCTACTCCAGGTAGAAAGGGCGAGTCAGTGCCTAGATCTTGGAACCAGAAACAGCTCTTTGTAGTCTGAGCTTAGTGGTTTTGCTCTGTGACCATTGGTAAAGCACTTGACCCCGTGCTCAGCCTCTTCCTCGGGTAACACCACTGACCTGCCTCGCTGCGGGGGGACGGGGACGTGGAGCTTCATTAAATTGCTCTAAAAGGCTTCTGTTGCTCTTTGGAAAGGCAACGTTTTGCTATGCTTTGTTAATGAAAAAACATTTGCACTTAAATGGGAAAAGCTTCACTTGCCATGCGTGTTTCTTGAAGGCCTATTTCTGGAGAGACAGTAGTTTGCTGAAGAACCTGTGGGTCTCCAAAAAACGGCAGTATGTGAGTTTTCCTGGAGACCGAAACCGGGGCATAGTGTCCCGGCTGTTTCCTTACAGCAACTACAAGCTTGAGATGGTTGTAACCAACGGGAGAGGCGATGGGCCACGCAGTGAAGTTAAGGAGTTCCCCACACCAGAAGGAGGTACGTTCCCAGGGAGGGGGGGTTGTGCAGGCACCCGTCCCTGGGGCACAGGCTGGGAGAGGTTTTGGGGGGGGCTGAGCTCTGCGGAGAGGAGCGGGAGCTGCCCCCTCCTCTGCAGCAGAGATGTGCTGGGGACAATTTTTAGCTGAGCCTGGGCAGCATCACTGTCACACGGCACTGCTGTGTGCCTTCCTCACCGCGGGGTAGGTGACATCTCTGCAGCTACACCTAGAGATAACTGCTGGCGCTGTCTCGTCAATCTAAAAATCCCCTTCAGGTACTTTGAACACATCAGCAAGTAGCTCTTAGGTGGAACAAGAGAAATGTTTGCAAAGCCTCTTCAGAGGCACAGCGCCGTGCCCTTGATTTGCTGCCTGACCTGCAAATGTCACTGCGCCCTCCCCGTGCTGTGGGTGGGTGAAACGGGAGTGAATATATTCATCTCGCTCAGTGAAAGGCAGTAAAAAATCTCTGGAAGACCCAAGCACTTTTGTTCTGAAAGGATGTCACTAATACCCATCAGGCTTTTAAGGCAAGAGCACCTCATTCTTCTGTTTAAAGAGCTTGTGTCAAGGATGAACTTGAGATTTTAATTTTCTTGCTGTCACAGGAGCTATTTATAGACATGCCAGTAACTTTTTGTTGGAGCTGCACTTTCAGTGCCTGGCAATGGATCTTCCTATAGCACAGATGTTTTTAGCACAGTGTGCTACAAAAATGCAAGAGGAGAAGACAGTAGAGGCTGGAAGCAAATCCTGTCTCAACTAACTCAAAATTACTACGGGATCTTCCTCTTCCTCTCCCTCTTCATCCTTATTCCTGCGGTGCAAGAACAGCACCTCTCAGCCCAGTCTCCTTCTTCCTTTTCTTGGATGCCGTCACCATTTGCTAAGGGGTTTCAGTTGATCAGCCATAATTAAGCTTCTCTAAAAAGAAAGGACTCTGTTCCAGTAGGGTGGTTGTGCCATCAGGTGCATTTTGGTTGAGCTGTTGACTCGTGTGCTCGAGGCAGGGAGCGTTTGGGGTGGCTGTGTGCATCCGTGGGTGCCATTGATTGAAGAAATTATAGCGGATTATACTCTTGTCATGAGAAAACTGTTCTTTTTTTTTTTTCCTCCCCAATACCACTAAGCTATTTATTGGTGTTTGGGAGACGGAATGATATTTTGCAAAGCTTCTGTTTAAAAAAAAAATAAATATAAAAATCCGTAACCTCTCAGATCAGAGAGCCAAGTTCTTTCCCAAGTCAAGATTATGAGTAAAGCAGGAGAGGAATTTAATTCAAGAATGTATAATGCTTTCCTTCCTTTACTAGCTTTGAATAAGCAGTCATAAAAGCAGCCATTCCTCAGGGTAAGGATCCCTGTGCATGCACCAGCTCCCCGTTACAGATCTCTAGACGTTAATACCACAAAGATGCTTTGCAATAAGAGAAGCTGCTATACTATTTTTCACCGTTCCAACAGATAAATAGACAAGATGTAAGCGTTGGGCTGGGCGGGGGGCTGTCAGCAAGACCAGTAAAGTATGCGTAGAACATGCAGAGGTGGGACATGAGCTCTGTCACAGCTCCGCTTCACGGCTGCAGCATCTTTGGGTGGGATTCGGGCCGAGCTGCGCGCGGGAGGGCAGCGGTACCCGGCCGGCACGGCCCGGGGCTGGGGCTGCATGCAGAGCTGCTCTGGTTTCTGCTCCCTGCACACACGCTGCTGAAAACCCTGGGCTGGCGCATGGTTTCTGGCACAGACTCTTGTTCAATCGGTTGCTGACCTTTAGTGTGTGTGTGTGTGTGTGTGTTATCTGTGTGTGTGTGTGTGTTTACGAGTGTCTTGAGTGTATCAGTCAGCCTGCGATGTATACAGTATTGTAAGGTATGTTATCTTGTATGTTATTTTTTTCTTTCCCTCTCCTTCCTGGTCCCATCCTCCTCCCAAGTGCCCAGCTCCCCCAGGTATTTAAGAATCCGACAGCCAAACCTGGAAAGCATCAATCTGGAGTGGGATCACCCAGAGCATCCCAATGGAGTCCTCACAGGATACAACCTTAGATATCAAGCCTGTACGTTCCACGTGTTCTCTTCTTAGTGAATGATAATTAAGTCATTAAGTATTTTCCTTGTTGCTAATTACCTCCTCACCCAGCACAGAAAGCTCTCGGTAAGGAGCTGGAGACTTTCAGCACAAGATGAGAGGTGCTGGTGTTGGAGGGGAGTCCTGGAGCAGTGCTGGGCAGCTGCAGTTAACCAGGGAGGGTGGCGGGTGCTCAGCAGTTCTCCAGACTCGACTGCTGAAGGGAAATAAGTTTGATCTCTGTTTTAGAAAGAGCTTTAAGTTCAGTCTGAGTAGTTTATGCGCTCCCTCAAACGCAAGCTCCCGGCTGTATAAGAGGTGCTGCCAGGAGCGCAGCACGCTCTGCAGAGCCCAGCACGATGCTTGGGGCAGTTACAACCTTCTCTGAGCCGCTTGCGACCACCGACACAACCCGGAATGTCCCCACTAGCAGGTTCCTCACCCAGTAGGCCACCAGCTGCCCTAGATGAAGCGTATTTAACAGCAGCGACAGCTCTAGAGCACGTGCAGTCCCACAGCAAGAGCAGGGGGTGAGGTGATAGAGTATTTCTGAACCAAGGTTGAAGCCACCACGACCTGCCTTTCCTCCCCAGTTAACGGATCCAAAACGGGCCGAACCCTGGTAGAGAACTTCTCTCCCAATCAGACAAGGTTCACCCTGCAGAGGACAGACCCCATCTCGCGCTATCGCTTCTTCCTGCGCGCACGGACCCAGGTGGGAGAAGGCGAAACAGTAATGGAGGAGTCGCCAGCCCTGCTGAACGAAGGTATGTGCAGCAGCAACCGCTCCTGGCTTTGCTGCGGGGTTGGGGGGTGATGGTACGTGTGTGAGCTGAAAACCGCAGGTCAGAGAATCAGGTGGTCTACAGAGCAACCAGTCCAAACCAGTAACTGGTGCACAGGTACTTTCTACTGCAGAGATAGAGAGATGACTGACCAGGACAAATACCGCGGCAGAAATGCTACAGAGGTGACTGGGGGGGGGATCATCCTGTGCTGTCAGGAACCATCTTGTGGACCCCCAAGCATTCAGCGTTCCTCACGTGCCCCCGCACCGGGAGAGCATCCTGCTCTCATCCTGCAAAGGGACAAAGCTCTGATCCGCCCCTCTGCAGGAGGTAAAAAAGGGGCAGATGTGGGTGATTTTCATGTGGCTTGAAGGGGGTGCAGCCGCTGCACCCTCCGGAGAGTGAACCCCAGGCAGGGGCTGTGGTGCCACCTCCCTGTTGTTACTGATTTTGCTATCAGTTGAAATTACGTTTGATTTTAATATGAGTATAGAATTAAGAGGTATCTTAGTAGAAATTATTTGTTCACATTTATTGCATTTTGTACCAGCAACCGACTGCCACTTTAAAATCCCCTGTACAGTCCCGTACCAAGGGATTGGTCATAATTATCTAGTAGGAAGAGTTAGAACCTAGGTAACAAAACACAAGATAACCTGTAAACTGATTTACGACGTATACATAGAACTAGAAGAACGCAAGTAGTTGTCAAGGTTCAGGATTAATGGGAACTGAGGGAAGTGACCATAACAGCTTGCAAGTACCTGCCAAGAAACTATGTCCTTAGGCAGGAGGTAATTCCGGTGGGGGGAGATGGCGACCACCGACTCGTGGACCACCTACCCCTATTACACCCCAGACCCATTTCTAGACATTTCCAGCTTTCACCGCGCATAATCGGAAAAATAGGAGGAGAGTATGTTGATGATTTACACGAAATTCTGTGTCTATGTATGAATACTTAATGAGTAAGTTCTATATAAGATGTATAATTCTGGTGCTCGGCGTGCGTTGCTGGTGAGACGACTCCCCCTGTGCCCCCGGCCATTAATAAAGAAGTGTCTGCTTATCCACATCACGTTGGTGTCGATAAGTTTCTATCCCGTTTTTTGGTGACACTGTCACCCCATAAACCAGCACCTGACCTGACCCTCCAAAGCGAAACCCCAACTCCCAGATTCATAATAAGATAAAATGCCCGTTGTGGGACATTCATCAAACTAAGTGAAAGTTCAGGAGCCCTGAGGGAACTCGGGGAGACAAAAGCTGGCTCTTTCCTTTCTTTAGCATTTGCTAAAAGACCTATGATTTGGTTAGTGCTCTGATTTAATGGAGGGTTTGTCTCCTTTCCCTCCATCTCCCCCTCCCCAACTAATGGCTTGGAGTAGGAAAAATAATTCCTACTGATGACCCGGTGGAAAGGAAATGCTTCCTGACACCTCTTAGGTGGGCTCCAGCATCACTAATTGATGTAACAGGATGGGAGATGGGGCTGCGGACGCTACGGGGGAAAAAAAAAAAACAAACAGCTAAGCTACACTCTGGCAAAAAGGAGAGGGGGCACATCCGTGTTTTAAAAAGGAGCTTTGCTGAACAAACCGTTAGAGCACAGGGATCAGATTGAAGTTGTCGGTGCTGGTAGTAGTGTTCCAGTTGTTCCATATATTTTGCTTTACTGGGTTTGTTCCTACACGCTGCTAACAGCAACTGTCAAGCAGAGAGCAGCCAAACAATCGCCATAACCCAAGCGTTGTTGTGTTGTTGCTTAACTGCTTTGTATCAGGCAATAGCAGGTGCGGTGTGTGCCGGCGTGACGAGGTAAGGTTCCCCGTCCTCGGGGTCGGGGACACGGAGGGTGGTGGCACCCAGTGCTCCCCAGGTGCCCCTGCCGAAGGGACGAGCCGCTGCCGCTTCCCACAAGGGCAAAGCGTTTGCCGTTAAGCCAAAAAAAAAAAAAAAATTAAAAAATAGTCTGAAGTTACAGAAGTATGGCAAAGTTTGACCTCAAAACACGGCACCCTGAGGTACAACATGACGTAGGCGAGTTCTGTTAACGACAGGCGTGTAAGTACAATTAGCAGCTCTAAACCCCCACTTGGATATGAAGCACCCGCTGTAAAACCGTGCAAAAGAAAAAAAAAAAAAAAAAAAAAGAAAAAAAAAAAAAAAAAAAAAAAAAGCAGATTAAGAAAATTAAACCCATTGATGCATTCAGAGGTTGTTTTCTGCTTGCCAGACTCATTCACCTGAGAAGTTTAAATAAGACACATCTCGCTGTTCTGCGCCAAGGGCTCCAACCCACGCGAGACAGGAGGAGCGCTGATGTTCGAGCTGCACTAGAAAAACAAAAGCAAAGTCCAGTGTCCAAACCGGTCCTTGCTGGGATTAGATATAAGCACCCGCTTAAGCGCTTTACTTAATGGACACCGCTGGCATCTCTGCTGGGGAGCTGGTGTGTGTTTAACTGGTAATCTCCCTCTCCGAGGGGACGTCCCTGCTCTCTCTGCCCTGAGCAAGTGGCTCGGACGCGCAGGAGGGTGACGGGTTGGAGCTAATGCGTTTATTTCCTCTCTCTCAAGTCTCTGGTGACTGTGTGCAAGTGGTCCCGAGTCTCTTGTTGGTGTGTTCTGTCTGGTTTATATGTTCCTCTGTTTTCTCTTCCTTTCTCTTCTATGCTCTCCTCGTATTCCCCTCCTTATCCTTGGCACTGCCCTCTGAAGCCACGCCAACCCCAGGTACCGTACCAGCCGGAGGAGGTAACAGGCATGGGGCAAGGCTCACTCCAGGCTCGCTTGCGTGTGCTGGCAATTAAGCATGCACTCCATTAACCCTTTCAATGGGAAGGTGAAGTGTCAGGAGCACAAATTTGGCATATGAAACGATGGCGGGTAAAAACAAAACCCCACAGGCAGAAGGGACAAGGGCAGGCTCCACAGCAGGGGTGAGGTGTGCGTCTGCAAACATCAAAAATATCTTTAAGCCAGGCTTAACAGATGCCTAATGCTAAACCCTCCAAACACTGCGGCTGCCACAGACTGGGTAAGCAAAAATGAAGTTGCCCTATTAAAGAGGTTTTTAACCCCAGGTCTGCACAAGCCCTCTCCCTTTTTAAGCCTCAACATCCCTACCCTGCAGAATGCGGCTGATTTCCCAGCCAGCCCTGGCTCGGTGGTGCCCGTCCTGCCACCGGGCAGTATTTAAGCTGCATTTTCACACCCAGGCAAGCCTGGCCTGCCTCGGTCACACAGGTCTGTGTTGCAGCCACGTGCCTCCCCGTGGCTCTTTGAGGGCTGCCAGGGCTTTGGTACAGGAGAAAATTCTTTTGTTTCCAGGTGCCCATTGAAAGGGTTAAGGACAATGTTTGTGCCACAGCTGTGCATGTCTGCATGCGAGGCTATTGCTGGCTTTGCCCTCGATTGCGAATTTCTACAGCGGCGTTGAAGCAGAGAGAAACGTTTTCTTGAACCTTTTCTTGTAACGGGGCAGGGGGGTGGGGGGGGCAGCATCTCTACTTGCTTTCAAGAAAACCCAAACCCTCAGTTTACCCAGTGTCAACCCTTGCAAAGTCCAAAGCATAAGCATAACTTCTGGTTGCCCAAAGAAGGACGCCTACCTCTTACAAAAGCCGCAGATACGACTTTTTTTTTTTTTTTTTTTTTCCCCTCACAGCCCCCCTTTGAGCCCAGCAGCAGGGACAACCCTGTGACCAAGCTCTGAAGGGGGCTTGTGGCAGCACTAGGGAGTGTGACCCGCCCAAACACACCCCGAATGCTGCGGAAAAGTCTTTTGGTCTGGGGCAGCGTCTCTCTGTCAGAGGTGGTGCTTTGCCTTTGCTGAACACGGCCCTGGGGCTCCCCAGGGAGGAACAGCTGCTTCGGGAAGACTCTTCCCAAGCGATGCAAGTGCAGGACCTCATAGATGTTTCTCCTCTTTTTATTTTGTTGCAGTGATGTCTCTCTACCCAATATTATTTTCCGTTTGGTTTGGTTTTTTTCCTTCCTGAATAGATGCCAATCTTTTTCTTACTATACTTTTCTCTTCCTAAAAAAAAAAAAGAAAAAGAAAAAAGGGAGGGGGTAACAGATTGCTCTGCTTTGGGTGGTGGGAAACTGAAAATGGATGTAACCCTTTGGTTTAGCAGTTCTCTCTCCTCCGAGTCCGCGAGGGCTGTTTTGCCGCTGTAGTTTATACTTCAGACAGGGTCCGGCTCACCTACAAGAATCTAGATTTTCTTTGTGGCTCGGGATCACCTTCTGAAGTACGTTCCTACTTGCAGTGGATGTTGCTCAACTTTGAAAACACAAAGTGATCTCTTTATCCTTCCAGCATCATTTCAGGCATAATTTCTTACAGCACTGGGAGCTAGATGAATTTTTTGCCATTTAAAGGATAATTCTACAAGAACAGAGCCCACTGGTCCCCCGCCCCTCTGTTTTTTAACCCTTTGCTGGGAGAAAGAGTAAAGAGAAAAGATAGGCCAGAGCTGAAAGAAGTCGAAGAGTCAATAACAGGAGTGGTAGTTTCGTTAAGTGCTAACGAAGCTGCATTCACAGCTCCCTCGCCACGCTGGCCTTCAGCAAGAGAAATCAAGGCAGTATAAACCGTAGCAACACCCAGCGCTCATCTTTGTCTTGCTCTTGAGCTGGATGTCGTTTCTCATTAGGACGCGGGGCGGGTGCGGGAGCCGTTACACAGTTGGAGCAGTGTTTGTCCTGAGAGGTTGTTTCTCTTCCTAACAAGTCCCGGGTGCGAGTGGAATGCTGCTTGACCTCTCTCAGAAAATTCACCTCCGCGCAGTGACCTAGATTTCGTAGATTTTTATGGATTCACGGCGAAAGTTGTCTTAAATTGCAGTAAAATGCTCTTTGCCACCAGCTGCTGGCACTAAAAAAAAAGGTCTTTTTTCTTTTTTAATTATTTATTTATTTCAGGGATAACCTTACAGATACAGGGTCATAGCTGGTTTGTATGTGTATGAGAAACTGGACCAGCTTTGATGAACTCAAAGTGGAGTGCAGGGACTTTCCCTTAGGAAAGGCTTTACCTTTCCTAAGCCGGACCTGGACAAAGGGAGAGGTAATAAGGGGAAAAAAAGAGGACATCTGAAAAGGGCTTTTCATTTATGCTATGAATGAGAGAAAAAAACCCAAACTGGATCCTATACTACCCATGTGTATGGAAAAAACTTCACCAGGGACCATAAAGAGTATTGCTGTTAGACTTTAAGGAAAAAAAAAAAAACAACATTGACTTTTCTCTGTTCCCTTCTTTTCTCTCCATAATTAGGAATTGGAGGAGAAAGATCCTATTGTTCATTTTAGAAATGGACAGCAGTAAAAACAGAGAACTGCTGACCCCTCTCTTTCAGAGGCTGCTCAATCGCTCCTTTCTATTCTTGACTTTCTTACAGCTATCATCAGATTTGGAACACTTTATGGTAAAGACTTTACAATTTCCTTCTGTTGTTAAAAACTGGGAGAGGGCAAGAAGCAAAAAAAAAAAATCTCTGAAAATGTATTTGGCTAATCATCAAAATTCATGAAAAATTAATCAAATTTCTCCAAGCCTAATTATTTTGTAGACACACCCAAGGGAAAACTGTTACTACAGCCTAATAACACATTAAAAGCACCTTTAAATAATTAAAGAGCAGTATGGATGGGGATTGTTTCCTGCATTTTGCAAAATAACAAGCAACTACTCCCTGAACTGCTCCACTCCTCGGAGCAGGACTCGAGTCCCTCTCTTAAGAGGCTTCCTTTTTACATACCCCCCTTCTATGATTCTTCCTGTTTTGTTTTGTTTTGTTTTTTTTCTAATCTGAGCCTCACACATATTTTTGTGCAACTCTTGGGCTCCTTTTTACTGGTCCATTCGTGGTCGTAGGAGCCAAGCTGCAGCAGAGTACGGCCGTCCTGCTGCAAGCATCTCTCTCGTTACTTGGGCTATTAATTGCTACAGCCAGACCGCTGCATCCTCCGTCCATTATAGCAGCACATCTCCTCCCCACCGTGCCCCTTGGTCTCCATTACCTGAAAGGGTAATGCATCTTGCAGACAGAAAAAGCAATCTCAGCCTCGCAAAGATGGGGCTTAGTAATGAGCAGAATGGCCCTTTAGATGTTGCCAGGAAGAGGGGCTAGGCTGTGCTGGGAGCAAGAGAAGGGGAATTGATGTTACTGGATTTTACTCTGGGTTTCCTGGGCGTACTGGGGCAATTTCAAACCTGCTTGAAACTGGTTTTCAGGGCGCTGCTCTGCCCTGCAATGGGGAAGGTGGCAGCCCCTGCTTTCAAACGGGGTGTGAGGGTGTGTGGAATTTTTTCCCCTGTCACACAAATACCAGATGCTCAGTCCTGTACCTAAACTTGAGGCAACTGTTGTCAAAGCCCTTGAGTGAACCTCAAGTTGGGAAGGCAGAAAAATAAATTCAGGAAAGGATTGCCAACCGCATTTGTAGCAGGCTGTGTGTGATTATTAGTTTTTTTTCAAAATGAGCTGGAAATGCCAGCCTGGCCCTCCATCTCCCCCGTCCCCTCTTTTGCTGCCAGGAGCAGTGATCTGTCAGTCCTTAAGAGAGCGGGAGACCCCAGGTAGGGGCCGTGGCCCCGCGTGGGCTGCCCCCACTGGTCCCCATGGCAGGGTGTCCTTTTCTTCGGGGGATGCTGGAGCGCTCTGATCTCTGTCAAAGACCGTCTTTATCTGCCCCCAGACTGAAATCAGCTCTCATTAGGGGATGGATTTCAAAGTCTAGAAAATGCCCCTTATCTTCTCTCCCCCAAATCTCCCAGCTGAGCTTTTTTCTCCCCGCATACATTTCATATTTAAACACAAATGAGGCTGTAGCTTTGAATCCCAGGGCAGCTTAGGACTAAATCCCCCCAAGCTGCAGGAGCCCTGACCGACTGCAGCGCTGCCTTCCCCCAGCCCCGGCCCATCCTGTAGCGCGGTGCTGCCCAGAGATGCTCTCCCCATCCTCCCCTCCCTGAACTATTGCCTTCTGGACTCACCCAAGCTCACTTTTCACCTGTTCCTAGTCCTGCCAGGACCATTTTTATCCCCAGTGCCAACACCCCCTCCTGCATCTCACGCAGGGAGCGAGCATCATTATCCTGATGCAGTGTGGTAGCCCCGCTCTTGGGGAATCGCTTCTGCCAGAGCAGCGTGGGCAAACCCTGACACGTCCTGAGCAACAGCTCAGACTCATGCTGAACCCCTTTGGTCAATGCAGCATCCAGGAAGGTCTTGGCACTGCAGCTTCACCTGCGTGCGTGTATCTGCATGTAATACATAAAGATGAGACCCTGCACGAGGGACAGTGCAGCTTCGACTTATCCCCGATAATCTCTTCACATCTAGGGACTAGAGGAGCATTAAAGCTGAGTATCTCCTCCTGCTAAAGTTATTTACAGCAGCGCTAGGTGCTGCGGATAGTCCTCGAAGATGCTGTGTGGGAGAGGCATTGATGCAGGGATGTGTAACAACCCTGGGGGCTGTATTAGATTTTTTTTCCACCGGCTCCTACCTCCCAGCAAGTTGCTTTGTGCCTTGTTGGGTCTGATTTTCCTTAGAGGGGAGCCAGAGATTCACAGGGGAAATGCTGAGACTGCATTAGCTAATAACTACTGGCTGTGGCGCCGTTCGACTTGTGTCCGTTGCAAACCTGTCGAGGAGCTGCTGCTTAATTGGGGTAATGGTGACATTAACCTAGTGACACTAATCTCTTAACCTTCCCCAAAACCCCTATGAATCAGCAAAGATGGACGTTAATACTTCTCAACCCAACAAAGCCTTTTGTAACTCATCACCTCCCGACGCAGCAAAGCCCTTCATCAGTAACCGGGTGAAAGAAATGCAGCAAAACCCCCCCAGCCCCCCCAAATTGCCGTGGCCGGGTCAGGTCTGAGTGTGTGTGTGTGTGTGTGTGGGGAGGTTATTCCGCTACAAACACCCAAGGGCAAAGCTGTGCCATTCTCCACCCAGGCTGGGTCCCCTCCCTGTCACCCCCACCTCTGGACACCCCCCTCGCCCCCAGCCCCTCGCCGGGCCGTGGGGCAGCATCAGCTCTGCAAGGCGGGTGCTTTATTTCGGTGGCTGCGCTGCTGCATGGGGGTGGCTGCAGGGGTTGGGGAGGGGGGGGGACGACACACACCCCGCTGCGGAGAGGACGCGCTGCTCTCTGGGCACACCGTGGCGTGGGGACGGTGTTTTCGGGACGTGCTGGTAACTGTGGTTTTATTGCAGCTGCGGGCGGGAGGGAGCTGGACTGAGTGACCTACTGCTCTTCTCTGCTGTTGGAGCTCTGGGAGGGCTGAGGTTTGAGGGGGTGGCGCTCCTTGGTGAAAAAGAAAGTCCTGGCTTGGTTCTGGGACACCTTTTAAAGGCCCCTCCTAGAGCTCTTCGTGTGGGTGATATTTAAAATAGCCGCTTTCATTCGCCTAACGGGGATTTGTCACCCCTTACTCTACAGCGAGAGTAAGTAAATATAATTTAACGCAACCGTCACAGGGTAAATCTCTGCTCAGTTAACCCCCGGCAGTTTAAGCAGCATTCCAGCTGCATTTTCTGCTGGCAGGATTTCAGGCCCAAGCCAATGCACTGCTCCTTGGTGGGGTTCATCCCTGCGGGGTGGTGTGCGTGCGTAAAAGTGCTGGAAACTGGAAACACGGCACAGGTGAGATGTGGGTGGAGGGGGTTATTTAGAAAACAAATTGCTCAGATTTTTCCCCTGGACAGTTTGGGGTGTGCCAACCCCTTTTGGAGCTAATTTAAATGTAAATTGCGAGGGGCAGTGATGGCAAAGTATCATCCATCGCTCACCCAGGAGCTAAAATCCCTGTTAATGCTAAAGCCACTCCATCCCCAGACTGCGGTATTAGCACAGAGACGAGCTGAGAAGCTGCAGGGCTGAACTGGCAGCTCAAAAATGCTGGAGGTGTAGTCCAGGGGCTGCGGAATTAATGTAATTGTGGCTTGCCTGGCCCACGACAAATGGGATTATTACGTTTTCTGAAGAGATAAATCCTATTTCTTATTTCAGGGAGCTCTGAGTGCTCTCAGTGCAGTTCCGCGTGGGGAGGGGTGGCGGGGGGATGACAGCCTGTCCTGTGCATCCCCCAAACACCCCCTCACCTTCCTCCCTCCGTGTGATTTAAAGCCCAGGGTGGTGGGGGACACCGGCGGCAGAGCAAAGGCAAAAGAGAAGCAGGTCATTCGGCCTCAGGAGAGGGATCAAACGTGGGCGCAGGCGGTGGGGGCGCAGGAGCAGCTTGCTGGGGGCAGCCCCCCCCCTGCTTGCTGCCCCTCTTCACCCCCCCAGCCGGGTGCGTGGCCGTCCCCAGGGCCATCCCTGCACGGGGACGGGAAAAGCGGTTCAGCCTCGTGTTTCCCGGTGCAGTTTCTGCCTCCCTCCCTCCCTCCCCGCCCCGTCTCTGCGCCGCGCTGCTCTGCTTTCTCTCGTGTGCCCGCGCATCCAGGCGTCGGGGATGGCGAGTGCAAGCCCCGAGGAGACATCACCTCGTCTAAAAAACCAGTGTTTCCCTCTCCCAGCTGCAACTGGGTCGCCTCCTCCTACCGTCGGTCTAACCAGTACTACAACCACCCCAAGTACCACCACCGACACAACAACTACCGACACCACAACTACCGACACAACTACCACAACCACCGACACAACTACCACCACAACCACCGACACAACTACCACCACAACCACCACCACCACTCCAGCCGCCACCACTCTACCCGCCACCACCGCCGCAAGCACTACAACAGCTCCAGAGAGGGCTCCGGCAGCCACCACAAAGCAGGAGTTGGGTACTGCGCTTTCCTTTTCCTCTAACCCTCTAACCCTACTGGGACCCTCCCCGCCTCTTGCTCAGAGCCAGGATTAACACTGGGAAGAGGCCAAAGTTAAGACATCCCACGCTCTGGGAAGGGCTTTGCGAGGAGCCGGAGGTGGCACAGGCTCAGGAATCGAGGTGCACACGTGGCTCCCGGCATTTTGGGGGGGTTCTCTGTGCCACCCTCCTGGTCTGTCCCAGCCCTCCCCAGAGTGTTGAATTAGCGTCAGTGTTTGGGAAGGCGGTGGAAGACCCTACAAAAGCTCTCCGAGGTATTATCTTGTATCTCGCTGTCATTAAAAAGGGATTCTGTCACCATTATAGAAAAACGTCACTTCAAATTTTGCACATCAACTCTTAGCTAAGAGACCTGTCATCATTTATACGAGTCTTTTGGTTTATGCTGCTGCTCTTGGCGATGTAACCTAGCCATAGCCCACAGGAGAGCTGGGGACGTGTTTAAGTTACAACACGCAGGTGTGTGCCAGTTATTTATCAGGTCAAGATAAACTCCTCATGCAACCAGCTAGAACGGGATGGCTCAAACTCTGTTTTGGTGGAGGCATATTCCCTACTGTATATGTTTTTACTGACACACAGAGAGACGTATCTCGCTGAGGCTTGTTTTCAAAACGCTGCTATATCTACAGCTAATAAATCATTATGGGTAGTTATATTCAGGTTATTCAAAAATCAAACAAGCTAGTAGCAAGAGGGAATGCAGTCAAAAGAATTCAGTTGCATAGCCGGACAGGACACACTCAAAAGTGCAAAAGCTGCAGAAACCTTCGGTAACTCTTCATAAAAAAAGAGAAAGGACATAGTGGTAATAATGAGTATCGAAGCGAATACTCATTTAACTCAAGAATTTGATTAAAGCAGTTCAGACCCTTTTTATATTACATGAGATTAGCTCAGGATGGTTCAAAATACCCACCAAAAATATTCGCTGGGAGGGCCTGCCCCCACCTGATCCTCGGCAGTAAAACAGATCTGCAAATCCGCAGCACGGTTCCTGCTTTGCACTGATTTGCTTATCAAAGGTGCAGACCTGAAGTAAGAAAGGTGAATTTACGTCCCAGCTTGTGGCACCACACACCTCCCCAGCCGGAGCAGCCTTACGCTGCGCAGCGCTGCAAGTCGAGGGAAAGCACCCCGGGAGCTGCGCTGCCACGACCCAAATCATCAAAACTGGTGTGAGAAATACAGCTGCAGCTTCGTCGCTGTAGAGGAGGTGTTAGTAATGAAGGAAAAAAAAAAAAATGCAGCCGCAGCACAGTCGCTGTTCAGTGACGATGTGGGAAAACGTCGCTAATTGAAAATGGGCAATTAAGTGGCGAGGCGCGCACTGCCACGGAGCAGGGAGAGGAGATGGGAGGAAAAGAGGAGCTGCACGAGGAACCGTGCGTGTCCCGAACGACCCCGGGGACACGAGGGAAGAGGCTGAGCCGTAATGTGGGCAGACAGGGCAGCACAGGTTGTGTTTGTACCAGGGATTCTAGGTCACGTCCCCAACCCCACAGCGTCAGGTCCTTGCAGTCTCCTAAAAGTCACATAGCTGGCCTCGTCCCCGTCTGTTATTTGGTCAAACCAAAGCCTGAGCTACACCCTGATGTAAATAACAACAAGAATAAAACCAAGGTGTAACTTCTCTGATGTCACTTAAAGACACACTAAAGTAGTGGATTAGCTCTACTTCACTAGAAATGAAGTTCATCCGCTCTCCAAAGCAACGTCGACAATCCTTAACTTCAAAATCAGAAACGAGTGACTTCATTGCCCCACTGGCTGTCTCTAGACCCAGTAACGTGACAATATTCTCTCCCAGCCTTTCCTTCTCGGTTGTGGCAGCGAGTCCGTGTGCATTCATGCACATGTCTCCCGTGTCCATTTGGGCACGAGTTTAGTCAGGAGATTTCCCGGCTCACTGAAGTCCTCAGGGATGTGCCACGGAAGTCTTCAGACTCCAAAGATAAGCTGAGTGCAGTTGGACTTAAACACCAACACGCAATGAGCTTCTGCTACCAAACTTCCCCCCAAAAATTTAAAGATCTTGATAGGAACAAATACGTCCTTAGGCACGCTTGTAGGTTAAGATTAACTTCAGGAATGATTTTGTAAGGTTTTTACCAACACCAGATGCTAGATGAGGTCTCATTCGTGTATCCAAAATACTAACTCCTGTTCTAACCTGTCCACCAGCCACCAATGGATCGTCCATATGGGACATAAGAGCTATGGCTAATAGTAACTGGGCAAACATCACCTGGAGCCACAATTACTCTGCAGGAACTGACTTTGTGGTTAAGTATATCACCAGTAAGCATCAGATCGCGTGGGGACTCTAGAGGGTGGTGCTGCCATTAGAGATCCTGCCAGCTCCCACGGTTGCAACCGATTACTCGGTCTTAATTACTGCGTGTGGAATGATGCTCGATGGCCACGTGGAGGATGGGAGAGGAAAAGGCAGGTCACGGTCATGGCTGTTTGGAGTGCACCAGAGCTAATCCTGGTGACTGATTCCCAAGTGATTCCCCCTCCTTGCACCGACTGCCGCGAGGTGTTTATGGAACAGAGATGAGCAAGGCTGTTCGTGGAGCTGGGCTGTATGTGGTCACAATGTAAAGAGCCTTAAAAACAGATATATATATATATATATATATATATACATGAAGGGGACAAAACTTTAAGGGAAAACAATCTACATAATTTGGAGAGTAGTTTTACGCCCTTTGAAGACGGGCTTCTTGAACCTGGAGTTGGCAGAATCATCTATGATCCCAAACCGTCGTATCGGATACCGTTGTCTCTTAAATTTGTAAGGCTACGTACTTAGTCTGGAAGGTCAAAGCCGCTATCTCTGGTTTTAGTACTTGTTTAGAAGGATGTTTACATGTTGGTTGTTGGGGTTTTTCTTTTCTGTAGATAGGCAGTGATGAGTACTGCTTATCTCTGACTTTATTTCCCAGCCATTTCAGCCCTCACATCACCTGGTACGCCAGTCTTAACTCGGCATTTTAAATAAGTCAACTAGGCCTAACCATTGACAGCAAACCACCTTTGGTCATTTACAACATCACTTAAGAGATGATTTTGATTTCTCCTTGAAACAATTGCTAATGTGCAGCCAGTGCCTGGTCTCGCTCCGCAGCCTGCAGGGCTTCAGTAGGCAGCGTGGGCTGGGCTAGGCTCAGCCTTCCCCCTTTTTAAGCAGTTTCCATAATTCCAGACACACATCAGCTTTCCAAGCCCTAAATGCCAAGTATCCCAGCTCCCAAACCACCCGCTGCCAGCCCTGGATCCTCCCCATCACCGGGAAGCACAAAGAGCAGGTGATGCTTTTCCAGAGCCCACGGGCTGAGTTTGTGCTCAGGCTGGGCTGCAGCAGCAGCAACACCTTGGCTCAGCCTAATCAGGGTCTGGCCGAGAGAGAGGAAATCTTGGAGATTTCAGCCCTTCCCGAGCAGCCGTGGCTCTCCTCCCTTTCTGGTGGCCTTTGAAGCAAGCAGCATGCTTTTGGCCTCAAAGCCACATTTCCCCTTCCCCGCAGCATTGCTGAACTGGGAGGCGCGCACCTCCAGAGCCACAAATCAAAGCCCCACTGCAGGTTTTCTTAGAATTCAGTGGTTTGATGCTCAGTATTAAGCTCAGCAGCAAATGATTCCTGGCCCAAGTGCAAAGAACGGGTCGTCCTTAGACAGAGCCTGGCAGCAACCAGCCGAAGGGCTGAACTCGCACCCCGAAAGCAGCAACCTGCCAGCTGGGGTGAGCAGCCCCGCAGCGTGTTTAATGCAACGTCCAGCTCATTCAAAGCCTCCTTAACCTACCAGCAAAACTCCCCAAAGCTCAAGAACTGGCTCCTTTGCTGAGCCGTGTAGCGCCTTCACCCAGCCGAGCGGGACCAGGCAAATTTCAGGCTTTTTGTGGTAAATACCCAACTATCCAGACCTGAGGCTGGGCAGATAAAGGACCTATCGGGTCTTAAAAACAGGGAGAAAACTGAATAGCTCTCAGTATTCTTTCCAGTACGGCAAGCAGGGATGCAGCAAAACCCACACCATATCCCTGCGTCACCAATTTTCTTCTATTCTCAGCGAGTAATAATCACAAAGCCGTTATTAGCTCCTTGACCATCAAGCTGTATTATTTCTGCTCAGCAGCTGGGGATAGCGTAGTGCACTGCCTGCAGTGTCAACACGGTAATCTCTGGGAGCCTCCCGCGGCTGGGTTTGATGTGCGGTTTCTGTTTCTCAGGTAACAAGACAGAGAAATCTATCCCTGTTAAAGCTCAGACCCCTTCCTCTGTGCAGCTGGCGAATCTGACGCCGGGAATGATGTACAAGCTGTGGGTGTTCCCCATATGGTCTAGCCCCAGCGAACACTCGTACATAACCTTTACCACCAGCTCAGGTGAGACGGGTGCAGCCCCGCCGCGGGGTGTGTTTCCGAGGCATGTCCCATCCATCACCGCCGACGTCATTCGCGTGGTGGCGGGAGGTGGTTTGACCATGACTGCATGGAACAACCCTCATCCACCACCCCCGACAGCCCCCCCTCCCCATCCCTGCCTTTTATTATAAAGCCGCCCCCAGCATCGCCAGGAGGTTGCGCAAGCGAGAGGAGAGCCCCAGGAGGGATGGGGGATCCCTTGGAAGGAAAAGGTCTTTAAGGAGGGGGGAGAACACGCTCACGTTGTCACACAGCTCTGCCTGGAGCCCCACCACCGTGCGGTTCGCATTTCCACCTGCGCGTTGCTACTCGTGGTCTGGCCCCAGGTTACGGCAGAGGGGCAGGAGGGGAGGTACTGGTGACGGGGTGCAGGAGAGGGGCAGGATGGGGAAGGCAGCGTTTGCAGAAGACCTTGCTCCGAGTCACACGTGGCATATGCCGAGGGTTTCCCACCCTCCAGGTACGTTTCCTCTGGCAACTTCGCATTTAATTGCAGAAGCAATTTTCCAGGCTTAGCACCCGAGTGGTTTTTTTACAGCTTTCTAATGATGGGCTTCCTACTCTGCCCACCAAATGCCAGAGAAATACCCTTGTTGACTTCCACAGGCACTGAAGCGGGCTTTACGCATTTATAAAACTTCACCGTTCACGCTCAATGAGTTTCAGTAAATCAAACCAGCTGTAACTTCCTTTGTATTCACCCGGGGGTTTTGCCGTAGGAATCTGTGCACGACGCCTGTCAAAGCGCGGGTCTAAACACTTCGCTGAAAAACCAAGGAGAAAGCAACAGTGGAGCAGCCCACACTGACAGATGTAGTAGGGAGAGGCTGTTGATTTTCAAAGAACTAAAATGATTTTGCTCAGATGCAGCCCTGGAGAGGAAAAGCTCAAGCACTTACCACTTGTCTTTTTGCTGAAAAGGGCAAAAGGAAAAATGTAACTCGCAGCAAGGGAGCGTGGCAGGGGGAGGTGGGGGGGCAGCAGCTCTCCCCACCCCCCCTGTACACATCTTATTTGGTGTCCAAAATATTTGGCAAGCTGTAACACCGCTGAGTAATTCTCTGACGTGCTAAGATGACACAGGGACAGATGGCAACTGCTGGTATTTCTGCATGTCTGATGCTGCCCAACGCAGAGAAATAACCAGCAAGCGCTGACCTTGGCTCTGTCCTGCCTCTGCCCCGCCTCAAACTGCTCCGTCACCCTGGGATGCGGCCGCATCCACGGCGCAGAACACGCTTGGCTTTGCAGAGCGCCGTGTTTTCAAAACGGATTGATTTTTTATTTTATTTTATTTTTTCCACCGGGGTTTTTCCCCGCTGCTGCGTGGCGCGGCCGCCTCGCCTCGGGAGTTTTCACCGCTTTGCTTTGGCAGGACTTGGCTCGCAGACGAGTGTCTGCAGGTTTCAAGTCTCTGAGCTCCCAGCCTGTTCCTACATTGCAGAGGTTGATTCTGACTCCAGACAATGAGAGACCTGATTTTTCAGACTCTCTCCAGGACAGCTCCAGCTGCAATGGTGCATCCCCAGTTTTGTTTCTGCTTCTGGACCCTCCCCTCACTCAGAAATCACCACCAGCTCGACTGCCCCCACCCATACCCCGCAACGTGTCTTTCGGGAGAACTATTTCCCAATCTGGACCCGTCTCTATTCTTTCCTCACCTGCTTTTCACCCACTTTGGGATCTGGGGGGAGAGGGGACAGTCCCCTGCACAACAGACAGCAAGGGGCAGGGAATCGTTAGAGAGAGGAACAGAAAAAAAAACCAAACAACAAACAAAACCCCAAAGCACAATATCCTTGGCTGATTGATGCTGGTAGTCTTGGCGTATCTATTTTCTGTAATTGAGGGG